CAGATCGTGCACGTTCTTTACGATGGCCTCGTGCTTGCCCGCCTGGGCACGCCACACGGCATCCAGATCGTCCAGCGTTAGGGCCTGCTCTTTGATCAGGAAGCGTATGATTTTCTCCAGCTTTTCGACATACTGCGGCTGATGCAGCGAGTCTTTGAGTACGATGCCCAGCACATCGGATGCCTTGATCCACTGGGCCATGCGCTCCGCCGTCAGCCAGTCCATATCGTCCTCGGGCAGGGAGTGTGGCAGTGGTTGAGAGCGATGCGAGTAGTAGGCCACCGAGGACAGAACCTTGTTGATCTCGTTCAGGGCATTCATTTTGCCATTGAAGCTGGAGACCTGCAGCAGGCGAAGGATCATCTTCAGGCGGAACATCTCCAGGTCGCGTATCAGGTCCTCCTGGCCGGACAGGCGGCTCGCCAGGAAACGCGCAGACTTTACAATGCCATTAATGTAGTCGTTGCGTCCCTCGGGCTTCACCTCGCGCTTCAGTTCCTCGTCGGTGAAGCTGTCGAGCAGATCGAGGACCACATTCCAAGTGGGCATAAAGTACTTGGCAATGGTGGCGGGCGTGAGGAGCTCGTGACACTGGCCAAACGGCCGCAAAAGGCTGTGTATCACCGCCAGAGTCAAACGATTGTCCTGTCCGCCCTCCTCGCCGCCCTCGCTGGAGGAGGATCCGCCACTCTTGATGGACGGTACCTTATTTTGGTTACGCTTCAACAGCTCCAGACCCTTGTTGAATCGCTCAAGCAGATTGTCGAAGCCACCCAGCTGTCCGAAGCGATTTATGAGATCCACAAGCCAGCCGCGTGCACTCTTTGGCTCTGGCGGCGGCCTCGCGTACATCTTGTTGCTGTCCAGCTGTCCCCAGATGCAGTCGGGCGTCGCAAAGCATTCCGGCTGGCGGGCCGCATTGAACGCATTGAACTTATTCTCCGGATCGAAGACAATGGCCAGCAGATCGAGCAGGTAGGGATTGTCACGCACCATGTGTATGGCAATGAGATGCAACAGCTTGCCGCAGGACACCAGGATGCAATGATGGATGTTGTACTTCCACGAGTTGACAGCCTCATCCGTTAAGATCTTTGCAAACGAAGTGCTCAGACCATTCCGATAGAACTCCACACACGGCTCGCAGTCGTGATCCACGCCTGAGAATCGAACGAAAATCGAGAGTGTATTATCGATTAAAGAGTCCCCTTGTCCACCTCGCATGTGAGACGTGACTTACCGGCTAGGGTCAGCTCAATGGCAGCGTTTAGGAGCACCTCTAGTTCCTGCTCGGGCAGAACGGGCACCACCCATCGGGGATTGGATATCTTTTGGGTCAGCGATCGCAGTTTGGTTGTGGGAAACGATGATATCAGCTTCTCTGGTGGCCTGGAGAGAGAGACAACAAACAAACGATGTGTGTGAGAGTGTGTGTGAGAGCGTGTGAGTGTGTTAGAGATCGAGGGAGGCTAATCAACAAAAGACAGCTGATAAGATTGAATATCTCTCGAAACGAACGATTCGAGCAGTTTAAAAATAGTTTCTGACTATCGTAATGGAAAAGTAGAGGCTTTTCTTTTTGCACAAACACAATTATTGTTGTTCTTTGCCCCTTGCTTATGATTCGCAAGCGCCGAGACGAGTTCTGCGAACACGACCGGAAACATTTGTTTGCTTTGGAAGGTGTTTGTTTTGATCGGATGACGACAATAAGGGACATGCCGTTTAGCATTCAGCTATTAATTGCCTCGCGAAAGCACGCTTTAATGAATTTATTATTCACAGGGTTTTTTGGAGCGGACCCAACCCTCGACAAATAGCATATGCACAAGGGGGATGGGTTGGGTTATGCTGCGCAAAAGTAAACAGAGAACGGGGCCTCAAGGGCGGGGGGGAATGGGAAGGGCCCAAATGGCAAATACGCGAAAGACTTCTGCTCTAATTAAGTGCAATAAACTACGCACTAAACCTCTTCTCGCTCGTTCGTTCATTCGATGTTCCTTCCTTTTCCCGCTAATTGGGAGCAATCATGCGAAGCTCCTCCGGACACGCCCACTTACACTATTGTAACGATGCTGTCCACACTGCTGACCGACGACGATCCGACCACATTGTCAGCGTCTGCACTTGTGCTGGCCGGCGTTTGCTCCTGATTGTTGCCGCCACCGCCGCCGCTGCTGCTGCTGGTGGTGTCTATGCCACCTCCGGCAGAGCTTCCTCCCCCAGCACTGCTTCCCGCACTGCTCGGCATGCTCGATGTCGATGTCGTGACTGTGACAGTCCCTGAGCCAGCGCTAGTGACAGTTCCCGTTCCAGCTCCTCCTGTTGTCCCCATTCCCGACATGGAACTCTGAGCCGGACTCGTGGTGGTTGTGGCTGTTGTAGTTGCGCTGCTGGTCGGCTGTCCAGTGGTTTGCCTGCGCGTATCGAACGTCATTGTGGTTGTTCTTGAAGCGTTGTGGCTGCCTTAGCAGCGCCTTCGTTGCCGTCGTCGTGGGTGGGGTGGACGTGTAACGGGGTTGAGTGGAGGGGAACTGGGGATAGCTCTAGTCCTAGTGGTGTGATTGTAATCCTACTGCAGTCTGCACTGGGCGGCTATTTGGCTTTTGATTGGCTATGGCAGTCCTGGGTTCTGGTTCTGGTTCCGTTTCCTTTTCTGTGTTGCCTGTTGTCTGGTTAGCTATTTGAGGCACTGTTGGTCGAGACAATTTGGGGCGACTCCCGGGATCGGTCCCGGCTGCGGGCGGATGGGCTCGTCTTTCCTTATTGTCCTGCTCCAATAAGAGCTATTGCCCCGTGCACGCTCGTGTTCGTGTGGTTTGCACTGCTTTTCGCGGCGCGTTGCGTTTAGTTTACATATTCCTTCACAGCAGCGGTCACAATTTGCAAAAATCTATAAACTGCAACGAAGTAAGAAAAAAGAAGAAAGAAGCAAATAAATACAGGCGCACAAGGGAGACCGAAAAAGCACACACGCACACAAGAAACACACACATGCAATCAACACTCGCGCACGCACCAGCGTGTATGTGTATATGTGCACATGGATGTTATGGATGTGTGTGTGTGTGTGAGTGCAGTGTGTATGTATGGGTAGCAACTTGGCACGAGAGCCTTTTGGGTTGGAATATGAAAAATCAATATTATTTAATAGACGGGAGCGAGGAGCGAGCAGCAAGCGCCAAATAATGCTCCAAAAGCACACAAATAATGCTCTCCCTCTCTATAGGCTTCTCGCTGGCTTCGTCGGTGTCGGTGTCGGTCGCTCACCGCTCAGTCACACACACTCACGCAACGCCGAATCAGCCGCTGCGGAAATGTGTACGGGTGTGTGAGTGAATTTAATTTTATGTTGTTTTTGTTTTACGCTGCTCTCCCTCTTCACCCTCTCTTCCTCTCTAGTTCTTATTTATTTATTGTTTTTTTGTGTGTTTTTAGGCAAACAAAGAACATTTTTTCTCCCGAAAATTACATCACGTCGCTGTCCTATTCCACACTCCCTACCCGCACACTCCCCTCCACGTACACTACACCACTCTCACCCGGCTACATCCTTATGAGGAATGTCGGTCGGTGGGTGGGGGGTGGTGAAAATAACTACGCATAAAGATTTCGCAAGTTTTCGTACCCCTCGGCCGCACCATTTTTTTGTTGGTTCTAGGCTCCGGGACAACTGTGCAAAGATACAAAATAAAATTAATATGTTCCGCTGCCCATCGTACAGACGATGGTGGGGGTTGCTGGTGGCAGAACGTTGCTGGGGCGGAGGCACCATAGAGAGAGATTTAGGAGATCAGGACACTGACGCGAATCACTAAAGGATATGTGGCAGAGCGGCTTTCGATTGTTTTTCAGTCGTTTTACGTTTTTCGTTTTTCACATTCACAATATACACACACAGGCCAGGCCACATATTTATTTGCGAATCGAGCGAGCGAACAGGCACACAACTCACCCATTTTTCCTATCCACCCAAAAAAATTATCACTTTGCGTCCTAATCGTTACTACTCTTGCACAATTCGAGCGTGTATATCTTACAGTTAAATTTGGGTTTTAAAATTTCATAGTGCACACTCGAAATGTTTAGAAACTATTTTTCGCGAATTTTTTTCTGGCCTCTAAGCTTACAGATCAGCCGGCCAATAGACAAAATGGCGTCTGCTTTGGTGTTGTTTTATTCGAGAGTACTTGCCAGTGCTCTGGATGTGCTTGGCGTTAGTTGAAGGGCTGCTCCTCCCGCAATTAGTTTAATTGCATTGCAAGTGCAATATTTCGTTAGATTAGTGTATTTTATTTATTTTCTTTGCTAGAGTTGTGCAGTTCAGGTCTGAACTAGTTTGAACTGAACAAGTTCAATTAGTGCTTTTCAGCAGTGTTGCCGCCTCGCAGTAAGCTCTTCGATTTGCGTTTATCGAACTAGTACCAGAAGCAGGGTGACCGTTATGGTATTTTTAGTACTTTTCTGTATTTTTTTTAGGTCAAAATTGAACGGTATTTCAGTATATAATGGTATATTTTGTCAATCTCATCTATCTATTAAATTTTATTTTCAACGGTATACGGAAATCCAATAAAAGCAAGTATTTAAAATAGGCCAGTCAAGTAGAAAAATTATTCATCAATCGTAAAAAACTATGTGGGAATAGTTTAATGTTCTATATAGCTAATAATATTCGACGGAATATAAAAATCGAGGAATAGTTTCCAATCCTTGACAGAGAACGATTAACCTATTATAAGCCAATGGGGTGTTTCGATTTGTCACCGAAAATAATGAAAATTTAAAAATTTTTAACGCAGTTTAGGTGAAAGATATAGTGTTTTTTTTTAAGTTCAGAGGAAAGATGGCATGAATCTACATAAAGAACTTACAATCGTTAATATTTTTCGCCATTTACCTCAAGTAGTTGAACTATTTAAGTATAGGGGGCTTAAGTGGGCTGTATATTGTTTTTCACTATTGTTGTTGAGGGCAAATACAAAACCAATCGCCGTAGCAAGTATTTAATAAGCCAGTAGAAAATTGATTCATTAATCGGATACAATTATATGAGCAGGGCTGAGAGATCTATCTAGCTTATTCCAATCTAACTAAATGGCCGTGGTTCTATAAAATGTACGACGCTTTGGAACGATGCCCGGGCGCTTACTGTGGGCGGTCCTATAATAATGATAATGACACTTGGAGCAACTGCGGTGTCTGTCCCAGAGGATCCCGGGTATGTTTTCCATCTCGTAGCGCTGAGATTCCTGGAGTTATTTGATCTTTCTTCCCTTTTCAGGTGAACGAGAGCTATGCCTGTTCGCCATGTCGCGACGAATTGAGTACATATTCGTGGCTCTATCTGGGCTTTATGACGATGCTGCCGCTCATGATGCACTGCTTCTTCATTGACATGGACGCCAAGGACCGCAAGTGAGCACAGCAGACCATTAAGGATGTGCCTTTGCTGAAGCTTTAATCCATGGCAATTTCAGGTTTTCGCGGAAGCAGCTAATCTTAACAGCCAGCGCGTTTGTAGAAATAGCTCTATCTGCCATTTTGGCCACATTGTTCATGGAGCCTATGTGGGAGCTCCGATTGTACGCGTGCGAGGTGCGGAAGCTCACCGACTGGTACACACTGTTCTACAATCCCAGTCCCAACTACGAGGCCCGCGTCTATTGCACTCAAGAGGCTGTCTATCCGCTGTATGTACACAATCTGTAAAAGCTATATACAAACATTCTATATATGTACCGTTTCATCGTGCAGGCAAACTATTGTGCTGGTATTTTACTTTCTGTGTCTGGTGACAATGTTTCTTATACGGCCCGCAGTCTGCAAACTTTTGGATGTGAGGGGCAAAAGCAAGGCGCCCATTTATTCCGCGCTCTACTTCCTACCTTTGCTCACCTTTGTCCATGCCCTGGGCTGTGGCCTGATTTGTGAGTGCATAGATTGAGAGAAGAAAACCAGACTAAATATCATTGTCTTACAGACTACTCCTTTCCGTATCTTAGCGTGGCCATTTCTATGGTGGCCAATGCCATACACTATTCCCTCAAACTGGACCAAACCCTTAAGGCACTCGTCTGCTCCTCAGTATGGGAATTGAAGAATGTGGTCATCATATGTAAGCAAGAGAAGCGGTACTCAGAGTGAGACTATTGAAATTTTCCATTTATATTGTACTTGCAGCTGTCCATTGGCTTTTGTTGGCTTATGGGATATCTTCGCTCAACTATCACTATGCATTCCTGTGTCTTGTGCCGTTTCCAACGCTGTTCTACATCCTGACTGTGCGTTTCACCGATCCTGGCGAGTTCCGGGAGCTGGAGTCGAGAATTTGATGCGGCAACGTACAAATGCAGATCTTTCACACCCGCGGGACCACCAGACGGTCGACTGTTGTTATCTATGTATAGTATGTAGTGCGTGTGCTCGTGTGCGTGTCATTTAATTTATTTTTGCACTTAGCATGTACGTAATTAGTAGTTATAGTATATATTTATCTGTATTGTAACGCCATCATCGATTCACGTTTCGTTTTAATTATATTTCACATTAATTATACACATATAGTAATATTAAATACAAATCATCAGTTTTCCCATCTCTAAAATAGTTTTTACACAATATATATTGGCTACATATTGAATTTTGGACACCGCGCCGCGCTACAATAAGATCTAGTCCAATATATCCTTCCTTCTCCTTCCACAACTGACTGCGGGGGTAGGGGTAGGATTTTGGGGGTGTTTGGGGGGCATCATAGTCGTCGTAGTCATTATATTTATATTTCAAAATCGCAAGCCATACAAAATAACAGAGTCAAACAGGTTCCAAGGAAGAAGAGCACACAGAAAAGGGCAGAGCGGACAAAAAACCAAATCAATATATCCCATCCGATAGAATATAAAATAAGTTTCTTTTTGGTGGATGGCATTGGATGCAGACTGGAGGTGCTGTGATCTGATCTGGATGTCGTCGCTGCTGCTGCTGCTCGCTGCTGTTGCTGTTCATTTTGAGTTCAGTTCCCCTGGGAATCCTCTATTCAGATGTAGTCTTTTCGCTGCCGTTTGCCGTTTTGTTGTTATCCTGCAAGAACTTCAAGCGCCGCTCTCGCAGCTCATTTAATTTGGAGGAGTTGTCAGCGACCTCTGCCTCGGAATTCCCTAGGCTCTGGGTCTTTGTGGCCGTGGAGGGTACATCATCCTCGTCTGCGCCCAAATCCTCAATAGTCACTCTCTCTGCACCATTGCCAGCAGCGACTACGGCCACTCCTGATCCCAGCCCAGCAGCAGTCTTAAGCTGGCGAGCCTCTTCCTGCTGGTTCCTAGCTGCCGCCGAGGTACTGGGCATGTCATACACTGAAGGAGAAGCCGACTCGGCAGCTGAAGCAGCAGTCTCAGCTGCAGCAGCAGGACTTTCTGTTGCATCACCTGTCGCTGGAGGTGCAGCTGGGGTGGATGTTGAGGGCCCTGCAGCTAGCTGCAAGCGTGCCGTCAGAGTCTGGTACTGGTTCATCATGATCCCCACCGAATCCAGCATTAGATTTATGTTCCCCAGCAACTAAAACAAGAGTGCGTTAATTCCAATGGAGCATATGGCAAGACAGTCAGACAGCTTACCTTGAGACGCTGCTCGATATGCTTGCGCTGGTCTCCCTCCATGGCGCGCAGCTCATCATCGCTGAATCTGGATAGATCCTGGGGCATGGGCGGCGGCGGTAGTGGTGGTGGAGTGAAGTAGGCAAAGTGTGGCGGCATCATGAATGGCGATAGCATGGGCATGGGTGGAATCGGCGGTCGAGGTATGCCAAGGTTGGGCAATCCATTCGGCAAGCGATCTAAGGGAGACGTTTTTTTTAGCGAATCTAACGAGGTGGAGGGCAGGCGCAACTCAAATACTCACTGGCTTCGGCGAACAGTTCCGAGAAAGTTGCAGCTCCGTTCACTCCTGGCCTCCTGGCTCGTCCCATATTGCCATCGAGATCGAGCGCAGCGGCCGCAGCTGCAGCCGCAGCAGCAGCCACAGCATTAGGATCATCGTTTCCTGCAGGCTGTACGCCGCCAGCTCCTGCAGCAGCGTTTGCCCCGGCTGCACCAGCACCAGCAGCATCGTCGGCTGCTCGGGGCATGGCCACAGAGTTGACGGCCGGTGTGCGCAAAATGTTCAGACGACATGTGGGACATGTCTGCTGGCGCTGGAACCAAGAGCGCAGGCAGGTGGTGTGAAAGATGTGGCCACAGGGCAGCTTCTTGGAGTGATTGACCATGTCCTCGCGACAGATAATGCAAATGTTGTCGGACAGGCGCAGCTCCTCGGGCGTGGCATCCGGATACAGTGTGTTCATGTTGCGAATGGCCCGGCGGGACATGATCACATCGTTAAGAGCCTTTCGGAAATTTCGTATGGTGAAGAACATGGGCCGGAAAACGAACATCGGCAGGGCATAGATCTTGGCCATGATAACCACGAACAGCAGATAGAGCACAACTTTGATGAGGCCAATCACCAGCTCCGTGTACAGCAGGAAAACTGCCTTGTTCTCCCAGGGCGTGTCCGTGCGCATCTCCGCCGCATGCAGCACATATTTAATGGTCGTGCTGGCGATGACCGTCAGGAGGATCGCGTACTCAAAGCCAAAGACCAGCTGCACTGTGGGCCCCCGCACCAGGGTTGAATTGTAGGCGTGTATGAGCAGCAGATAGTCGAGAATACCAAGCATGGTCAACAGGCTGCCGACGCGTATGTGAAACAGCCAACCGAGTACTGGGGAGCGCTCCATCTGAAAGCGAATCGAAATTAGAGGGAGTTAAAGGTATCCTTTGATTAGAAATTGAACTTACATAGTCAACGCGCTCCTCGGCCAGCCAATGGAATGATTTGAGAAACAGTAGCACCGTAAACAGGGCCACAAATTGAGGATTGAAGTCATCTCGGAACACGGTGAACGCCAAACAGGTCTCGGTGAGTGCATACCAGAATCGCTCCAGCAAATGCTCGAACTCGGCAGCACGCAGGGTTCCCAGGAATATCTGCAAAATAAATAATTTAATTTATTAGGACTGATAGTTGCGCCCCTCCCAACCCCCCATCGCAGCACTCACCTTGCGCAGCAGTTTACCGAACATAAAAACAATCACAAAGAACTGGATGTAAATCACCTGAAATGGATGGAGACTTGAGAACGGAGAACTGGCGGATAAGGGAGCTTTACTCACTGCCATGGATGCATTGGATTTGGTGATGTAGACCACAGCGGGATAGAACTGCTGCTTCTGAAAATATGCATTGCCAATTACGGCGCTGGTCAGCGCCATGCAGACCGATGATATTAGCAGCTGCATGTTCTTGCTGTTGGTCGCAAAGGCAGCCAGCTGGCTGATGGTTTCGAGGAAGATATTAATTTTGGCTGCCGCGGGTTATTGCTGCTTGGATTTTTTGTTCCTATTCTACATGTATGGAGCTCTGGGCTCCCCTCCACTGTCTTTCGAGGGGCTGACTGCGTTCAGGCTGGTCACAGAGACTCGACTCGGTCACAGGCACGACACGATTAAAAAGGTCTCTCTATTTGACGCTGGAATTTAGTTGGGTTTATTAGCCAAACGAACTGGGTTGCTTTGCCATCTAATTTTTCTATTCTGGAATTGTGATTGGTTGTGCCTTAGTAAGCGTATTTATTTATATTTTTATTTTTAACTGATAATTACACGTACGTACCTACGAATCAGAGTTGTCAACAGTGTGACCCTCGGAAATATACCGAACATACGTCACAAATTTCGAAATATACTGACGAATTATTTGTATTCAAATTCCAGCATTGATATTCAATTGAATATGGTACTGATAAGTTAGTTTTAAACCAGTCAAGTAGAAAATTGATTCATAATTCGGATACAATTATATAAGCAGGGCCAAATTTTCTATATAGCTGGTAATATTCCACGGAATATCAAAATCGAGGAATATATACGGTATTACGGTATATTTTTAAAATTATACGGTATATTTTGGTATATTTCTGATGGTCGGACGGTATATTAAAGATAAATCCGCGGTCACGCTGTTTGTCGGCATTTCATTTAGTTTTATTCAAATTTTAATTTTTTAAACATTTACAAGGTTAGTACGCACGCAATTTGAGGAATTTTGTTTGGTTTTTGTTCTTTTTTGTTGGCTGAAAGCCTCAGTACTGCTTTACAATTGACTAACCAAGTAGTTTCGGCATTGAGTGACCTCCACTCCGTGGTATCCATTCCATCCTCATTTTTCATGCAGGAGCCCCATTTGCTCCATATTTTTTCGGGCTCAATTTGTGGAAATTTTCGGTGTAGATGTACGTGAATACTGTTAAATAATACATGTGTATCAGGTCTCCGCATGAATGCCACATCTGCAGATATGGGCGACCCCCGCAAGAACGCAAGAGAAAAGTGCACAATCATCAAGTTTTCATGTTCTTTGTACCATTTGGCCTGATATCGAAATTAAAGTAGCATTTTACATTTTACAGCAGTAAGCCATACCCATGCCGCGTCCTGTAAACACATAGATTCCGCTCTCCACTCGACCGAGTCTTCTAAATTCGCAAAGTTCTGAAATTCAAAGTCATGTTCTTGCTGCAAAGAATTCAGAGGTCTCGTCCACAACTGAACAGACTTTGCCACATACGTATCCGTGCCGGCAGCAGTCTCAGCCTTACGCTAAACGCCCCCAGCATCGTCAGAGGTGCCGGTGCAGACCCCAGAAACATTGTTAGACCCGCGACACAGTTGATTCGCTACAGGTATTCCGCAGGTTTAAAGGTATATTATCAGATCTAGATAAATGTCATTGTGGTTTCCTATCTTTACAGTTCGAGTGCAAATATTCCACAACCCGCTGAGATGCCAAGCAAAACGTCGCACTTTGTGTTGCCAAATACGCAGCCTATTGCCGATTTGGAGTGCAAGAATGCCTTTGAGAATCTGACAGACAAGGAGAAGCTCTATGCCCACTACTTCAGCAAGGCGTCGTGGGATGGCGGACTCATTGCTCTCATCCAATCCAGTCCCGAGGCGCCATTGATCTTCTCCCTGCTGCATCGCATCTTTGTGGCCGAGAAGCCGGAACAACTGAAAGCCAAGGCCTTGGCAGCTGGCGTCACTGAGGATGAGTTTACGGTAGGAAAAGCAAAGAAAGACTAACGAAAGGAGACTCAATATTCGATGTCCGAAATTTCAGGGCTTTCTAGTCTACGCTTGCGGCGTGTTCGCCAATGCCGGCAACTACAAGGGCATGGGTGATAGCAAGATCTTGCCAAATCTTTCCCCAGAAAAGTTCGAGGCAGTCGTACGCGCTTCGGGTGCCTATGAGGCCAATCAGCGTGTGGCCAAGATCTACGAGAAAGTCAAGGGTCTAATTTATGCATTGGAATCACGTAATGAAATCCTTGGATTCGCACCGAATGGCATTACCACCTACTGGTCGGACAACTGTACCAAGGAGGACTCGGATATAGTCAACTCCTGGCTGACATCGAAGCGCATCGAGCCGTACATGTGCCGCACCTTCAAAATCGTGGAGGAGGGCAAGACCATCTACGATATCAAGCTCGGATCGGTGGCCGACTCCGTTAAGGATGGCATTACGCTGCCGCTTGAGGAGTACAAGGGCAACAATTTCCGTGTCACCCGCGGCGACTACCGGAAGCTGCTGCAGCGCGTTAATCAGAATTTGCTGGAGGCCCAGAAGTATGCGGCTAATGAGAATGAGGCCAAGATGATCGAGCACTATATCAAATCCTTTGAGGAGGGCTCTCTGGACGAGCATAAGGACGGTTCCAGGTGGTGGATCAAGGACAAGGGACCCGTCATTGAGACCTACATTGGTTTCATTGAGACGTACAGGGATCCGGCAGGTGGTCGCGCCGAATTCGAGGGTTTTGTCGCCATGGTCAATAAGGAGAGTTCGGCTAAGTTCACCGAGCTGGTCGATCGTGCCGAGCAGCTGTTGGAGTACCTGCCTTGGACAGAGCCATACGAGAAGGACTCGTATCTGAAGCCCGACTTTACCTCGCTAGATGTTCTCACCTTTGCTGGCAGCGGAGTGCCAGCTGGCATCAACATACCAAACTGTAAGGAATTTATACATCCCAACTCCCAAAACGATATCACCATTAACCACGTTGCCATTTCCCCCCTTATAGATGACGAGATCCGCCAGGATGAGGGATTTAAGAATGTATCCTTGGGCAATGTGCTAGCCAACATCAATCGCAAGGATCCCATTCCATTCCTCACCGAGGAGGACCAAACGTTGATGAAGGAGTACAAAGTGAAGGCCTTTGAAGTGCAAGTGGGTCTTCACGAGCTGCTGGGCCATGGCAGTGGCAAGCTGTTCCGCATCGATGAGAACGGGGCCTATAACTTCGACAAGGAGAGCACAAAGAACCTTATCACGGGCGAACCCATCGCCAAGTGGTATCTGCCGGGTGAAACATACGACACGAAGTTCGGTGCCATCGGTTCCTCATACGAGGAATGCCGTGCGGAGGCTGTGGGTTTATATCTGTCCCTGCAGCGGGACATCTTGGAGATATTCGGCTTCAAGGATGCCGTCGAGCAGGACAACATCATCTACATCAACTGGCTAAGTCTCATCTGGAATGGCATGGGTGTGGCTCTGGAAATGTACAATCCCAAATCGAAGCAGTGGCTGCAGGCCCATTCTCGTGCTCGTTTTGTCATTATGAAAGTTCTGCTCGAGGCGGGCGAGGGTCTGGTAACCGTCGAAGAAACGGAAAAGGGCAAGGATCTGTTGCTCACGGTGGACCGCAGCAAGATCGAAACCGTCGGCAAGAAGGCCCTGGGTGATTTCCTCACCAAACTCCAGGTGTACAAGTCCACGGCCGACATCGAAACGGCCACGAAAATGTACGAACACTACTCAGAGGTTAACGACAGTGGTTCGCATCCTTGGGCCCAGTGGCGCGATATATGTCTGGCCCACAAGAAGCCACGCATGATCCTCGTCCAAGCCAATACTGAAGTCAAGGACAAGAAGGTGGAGCTGAAGACGTACGAGGCCAGCCACGAGGGCTACATTCAGTCCTGGGTAGAGCGCTACCCCACCACGGACGTTGACGATCTGTTGGACCAAATTGTTGAGCAGGACAAACAATACTTTCCAACTGCATTTTCAAAATAGGAAACATCATATAATCGATCGTTAATATTATAAATTCATCAACTTTTAGTATTTGGAAAAAACCAATTAAACTTTTAGTCATTTGATGACTTGAAAAAGTGTCTTTATTATTTAGTAACAAGTGGGCAAGCCCGAGGGAAACAAGTCCGACAATTTGAAGTTGACAGGTGGTGCCGCCCGATGATCAGGACGGAAGCCCATAAGTGCATCATGATTCAGGAGGGGATACTATAGAAGAAAAAGGTCGCAAGGGCTGCCATTGGCCAGCTTATTGCGAATTTAAAGAATTCTTAAGTTGACGAATTTCCGGCGTTCTTCTGCAAGGGGTATGACTATGAAAAGGTGGCGTTAGATCGAAACCTGTCATTCAGCCCGATGCGCATACAAGGACCTGTCGCGATTGAAAATATAAACAAAACGAATTACCTTATATTACTGCACGTTAACCACACAGCGGATCACAAATCTAAGTAAGCGATCGTTGATCTCAGCTGGCTCGACGCCTTCACTTATATTTTGTATTAATAATTTTTGTTTCTCTTTCTCGCGTTTGTTGTTATCGTTACCGTCAACCATGACGACCGGCAGAGGTGACCAACAACCGAAATCGGCCAACGATGAGTTGCCAGCAATTTTCATATGCGGAAAACCTAAATTTATTGTTCCTGGCGAGGTACCGAAGGCTCACGACTTTCACAGTCGAATTTATGCAAGCAATATGATGGCCGATCTGGATGATTTGAAGAGAAGCGTCGCTCTGTCCAAGGAGAATCCCATCCACCGTGATAACTTCGAAAAGAGGGCCATTTCGCAGGAGCTGATGGAAATGAAGCGAGCAGAATTTGTGGAGATGAAGCGGCGTCAACAGCTCCGCAACGATAGCGAGGCATTGCGCATGCTGGAGGAGCAGCTGCGATCGGCTGCCATTGCGAAAGATCTGTCAGAGCGCATGTCGGAGCAGTGCCGGTCGCGCGCTCTGGCAGTGAGAGCCAAGGCCATGGGACAGGAGAGAGCCGCCTTGGAGCTCATGGAGTTGGCCCAAGAGGACGACAAAATATTGGCCCAGAAGGAGGAGCAGCGAAAGCTACGCGAGTCTCTCGCTCGCCAAATAGAAGAGAACCGACTGCGCCGTCAGCAGGAGGCCGCAGAGAAATTTTCCCAGCGTGAGCTCAACAATGCCAGGCAGAAGCAAATCGAGGAGGAGGACCGAGTAGAGCAAGAGGAGAGGAATCGTCAGAAGGCTCTGGATCGCCTGAAAACTCTTCAGTTTATGCAAGAAAAAAAGGAATACAGAGATATGGAAAAGGCTCGGGCCAGGGAAGAACTGAAAAAGCTGCTCCAGACGCAGTCCGAAGTTGAGGACAGAAAGAACAAACTCGAAGAGGATAGAGTGCAGCTTATGCGCAAGCAGGAGGAGATTAGTACACGCATTGGTCAGCAGCTCTTCCAAGTGGAGGTAAGTGCCCCAAGTCTTCGCTCCAGCTTCTCTCACACATTGAGATTACTTTTTTGTTCTCGTAGAACGCAAAACAAATTAGAGACCTCCAGCTATTGGATCTACTAGAGGCCGAGTACAAGGCCAAGGCGGACCTACGTTTTCGCCAAGATGTACAGGAGAAGACAATGTCGCGGGATCGTACGAAACAGGAAATGGATTTGTACCGCATGGAAATGCAACAACGAAAAATGGATGAGCTGCAGATGAAGCGGGATGAAATTTCCGCCCGCAGACAGGAACTTCCCAATCAGAATGAGGAGACCGAAAGAGAGGAACAACTGGAGGCGTACCGAAAGCGAAAGGCGCACGGTGCTATGCTCCTCTCGATGATTGAAGACAACCATGTGAGGCGGGCGGAGGCCACAGCCGAACATCTTCAATACTTTAATCTGAAAAAGAAGTCAGACGCCGAACGGCACGCCTTTGAGGAGAGCGAGCGTCTCCGTATGCTGTCCGCCGTGCCGAAAACAGTTCTTCCCTATCTGCCCAAAAATGTCTTGTCCAAGGCAGAGCATGAGTATTTCGGCCTATCAAACGAGCAGCAGCAGCGCCGGCTGGGAAGCGGAGATTGCTAGATTGCGATTGGTTCACAATTTTGGCGCAAATCCAAATTGTAATCCTACAGGGGCAGTGTTATTTATAAGACGCATAATTGAATTAATATACATATATCATTTTAGATGTAACAACACGCCCAACCGATTTTTCATAGGCTAAAAATTATATAAATATCGGTTATTTGCATTTTATAATTATATAATTGATTTCAAAACAATAAATAAACCACAAAGCACAACATAATAATAATAATAATAAACATTCCATCCTTAGTTAATCATAGAAAAATGCTTGATGTATGTAGATGTGTTGAGCCGCATAAAATTCACGTTACCTATTAGATCCTATAGAAACTATACACCTTTGTTCCTTCTGCTTTGTAGATCGAATTATTCCTTGCATAACCATTTGTGGTCTTATGCTCGGGTTATAGTTTTTTCAACCATTTGTATCAACTATTAGTTCTCTTCCTCTTCTTAAAATACTTGTACTATCTCTATATGTAAATTTGAATGCATGTTTTGCCTTAACATATATGCCTTATATAAATATGTCCACACTCATAGCGGATATCTGTTGACCAGCAACAATGACAAGGATTTATGCTTTGACTTTATTTGCCAAAACATTATTTTAGATACAATACAATAAAATTGAGTATTTCAAATAAACATATATTATATCGAATTGATGCATCAATCGGGAAAAAATATGTGTTCTCTGCTGATTTTCTTAGCTAGGCTAGCATTATTAAACCGAATATCAAAATCAAGGAACTTGACTTCCGACCAAAAAAATTATAAATTTTAAAGAATTTTAGCGCATTTTAGCTAAAAGATATCATGGTATTTATTTGTAAGTGAACAGGAAGGATTTGGATGAATCTACAGGAACAATTTTACAAACAATAATTTTTCCGCGGTTCAACGTTTTATTAGAGGGGGTTTTAGTGGGCTAAGTTTATTTTTGTCATCAGTATATTTACGGTATAACAATTTAGATCTATTAAATTTCATTTTCAACGGTATATAGATATCCCACAAAAGCAAGTATTTAGAAAAGGCCAGTTAAGTAAAAAATTGATTCATCAATCGTATAAAATTATGTGGGCATTGCTAAATGTTCTATATAGTTTGTAATATTCGACGGAAGATCAAAATCGAGGAATGTGAATAATTCCTCTGTATATTTTGAAAATGAGACCGTATATTTTGGTATTTATTTGAATCGGGTATGAATCGGCAATAACCGGTTCACAACAATGAGACTCAATCCATACACAATGTTGCGGGAAACATTAACTTGTAAACCGTTTTTTATTCCAAATACAATACATAAAATTAATTAAAAGTAGTTAATTTTGTAGAAATTGTAAACATCGATGGGATGATTCTATAGCTCTATATAGCTTGTAATATTCGACAGGAGATATTTATGGCAATACCCGGTTCACAACAAATGAGTCCCATTCCATACGCAAACATGTTGCTAATTCCATGATCAGATACCCTGGGGGAAGTGGATGTTATAGAACTGAGAAAATGTTTGTCATCCCGGGCTCCAATTAATGCAGAAACTAGTCAGTCTCTGGTTTCAACGATATTTTGCAGTTCATCGTCTGTCTACAGAGACCAAGAACTGGGACTGGGATCAGGATTTATATACAAACACCTAATCAAATGCATGAATAGACCAGAAAAATGCAGTCTAAAACAAGGCCTTTATTATTTCCATTTGAAAGCAGCTTGAAAAACACTTTCCTTATATAATATTTACGAAATAGGGTATACAAATTCCCATACCCTGGTCGACAACAAATGAGTCTGCAAATACCAGCGACATTGCAACTGTTTTTTTGTTGAACCCTGTTCTAGGTAAAAAACAATAAAACCAAGAAACATAAGCAATCCAATCTTGTAGAACATTTATTCATCAATGGAATAAAACTATGTGGACATGGCTGAGGGCTTTAGTTAGCCAGCATTATTCAACGGAACATCAAAATTGAGAAATATGTATAATGGAACTTTAAGTCGTCAGTATATTTACGGTATATTTTTAAAGTAGTTGTTTCGGTATATTTCTGAGGGTCGGACCGTATAGCATATTGGGTCACACTAGTTAATGGCGGACCGTAAAAAGTGGGAGTGATCTTTGTTGTTTGTGCGTCTAAACAAGAAATTGTACAATTGTTAAAGGGCGTTGCACCAATTATAGTGTTTTGGCGAAATGCTCGGGCAAGTGTTAATAATGCGGTGCATTGCATAGAACGCGAGGTGCGCGACAAAACGGCAAAAAAAAAACTGAAAATTCCACAAGCACGATTCTCATGAACACGCAGACAATACGCGGAAGCGTGAATAATAGAAAAGAAATAAAATACGAGGCAACGGCGAACTTTGTACGCTGTTGCAGTGTGCTAGCCGAACCCGAGTGCAAGTGAGAACATACTGAAAATACACACATTAAAACCCCGAAAATAAGAAAAACGAGACGGAAACAAAGAAAAACTCAAAAATGTCTGCTGCACAGCGTTTGAATGCCGCGGAGAAAGACCTGGAGAAGTTCATCAAATTTCTGGCGCTGAAGTCCACCCAGGTTGTGGTTCAGTCGCGTCTGGGCGAGAAGATCCAAACGCAATGCAATCCGTTGGCGGGCAATGACTGGTTCAACATTGTGGTTCAGGACCATCCCGAAGTTATGGAAGAGACGAAGCGGGCGTTGGCCCTGAAGCCTAGCGAGAGCATTCTGCAGCGTCTGCCACTGTGTGTGGAGATATCGCTGAAGACAACGGAGGGCGACCAGATGGTTCTGGAAGTGTGGTCTCTGGATCTGCTGCAACCAGCCGCTAATGGCACCACCGCGAATGGGGGCGCGACCAACGCTCGCGACGACTCCAAGGCGGACATAAATGGTATAAATGGCGAGAGCCAGACGCTAAAGGCCTCCCACGCCATCTACAGCCGCATGGGCATAATGCTAAAGTCCCTCATCTCCCTCACCCGGACCACGCCCGCATACAAGCTGTCGCGCCGCCAGTGCCCGGACTCGTACGGCATTTTCTACCGCATTTATGTGGATCGCCCGCAGGTCCATACGCTCGGCGAGGGACACAAGAATGTGAAGATTGGACAGCTGCACACGATTGTGGGCTCGCTGGTCATGTCTGTGGCGTATCGCACAAAGATGACCATATCCCCGACGACGGCCCAGGCCCACCAGACGGAGAACAACATCATTATGCTCAAGTCGGATCATTTTCGACCAGCCACCGATGCCAGCTCACCAAACACCCAGCAGATACAGACCCACGCCACGGCCGTCGCGAAGAAGTTGGGATTGGGTGGGCTGAACGCAGCTCTGGGCTCTGGGGAGAGGCGATGCATTGATATAGAGAAACCGCTGCGTCCGGGCGCCTTCACGGACATGGGCAAGCTGCGGCAGTACACCGAGGATGACTTTGTGCTGCCGGAGACGCCGCCGTTTGAGTGGCTGCTGCGGGGCCGACAGCGACACGAGAGCACTGGCAGCGGCTGCTCCATGGAGTCGCTGAACCGCCTGGACAATGTGGCCAGTGTCGTGAGCAACAACATGAACAACAACAACAACCATACGGCGAATAATTTCAACCACAGCCACAATCTCAACAACAACTCAACGGGCTTCAAAAGCTTCGAGAAGCAGCAGGCAACAAATGGAGGAGCCAACTCATTTTCACCCATCAAGAGCCTGCTAATACCCGCCACCGCCTATCGCCACCATTCGGAGCCAGCGCTAGAGCCCCCCCCAGACGACGACAATCTGCTGAAGGAGCTGCACTTTCCCTTCGCCTCGCCCACATCGCATGTCAACGATTTGGCCAAATTCTATCGAGAATGCTATCACGCCCCGCCCCTTCGAGGCCTCAACGAGCTGCAAGCGGAAATCTCCAGCTCGTCCAGCTCCACAACGCCCGCATCGAGCAGCTCTGTGGCCGCCTGCGGACCCACAGCAGCCGCCGCAGCGGTCGCCACCAGTGCAGCCGATGCCAGTGCCCTGGACGATCTATCGCGGCAGCTGGAGCAATTCGAGACATCGCTAGAGGATTACGATAAGCTCGTCTCACAGTTCGGACTGACGGGCTCCTCATCGTCGGGCAGCCGCAGTAGCGGGGGACTGCAAATGAGCAACTGAGTGTCAAGTCTGAGTGCGACCGCCTGCGAGGGGAGTTTAATAAGTTGACCTATGCTAAGTTGCGTCATTAGTTAGACTCTATTTATGTATGCCATTGTGTTTAGTTGAATTGGTAGGCTGCTACGATAATATGCTGTGTAAATACTATGAATGTAGGCTCTGTAGGCTATAGTTCCCGTGTAAGTTGTACATAAGACGGCGGCAACAGCTCGTCAAGTGAGAGGAGAGCTCTTGTCACGTTTCAAAGTTAAGACCATAGCCACAAAACACACAGATGCACCGGCAGGGGCATATGGTATAGGTACATACTATATACATACATGTAGGGTAGTAACTTGGGCGTACACGTCGCTTGTTTGTTTGTTTCTTTGTTCAAGTGCCTTCTGCCTGCTTGTAAGTGAAATAATCATCCATGTGTATATATATATAACTCTAGATAAGAGCGCAGTTAATGGGAAAGCTATAAAAAGCTATCCGTGCACACGCATAGATACCATCCATAAGGTTGAGTAGTATAGCTAAAGTATACCCTGCTTGACACAGATATGTATAGAGTGGCCTTCTGTTTGGAAGGTCTATGCAAATGCTTATGCACTTTGTAATCGGCAAATGTGTTGCCCCAAGACTTTAAGCATAAAGATATATTGCAACTATCGTTTGTACTTTGTAAATCAGTTAGTGTTTTGTATTTGAATTCATTTGTCTTTGATCTGTTATTTATTTATTGGTTTCCGAACTGCTCAAAATTTGCCTACACATGAGAATCGAAATTCAAGTAATATACTTACGCATTAGATTAATCAGTATGATTAATAAGAGAATAAGAAATTTATACATCTATATAAAATATAAACAAAGAATAAAAGCAATTGTTAATCGAAACACACAAATCAAAGCTCTATTTTGCTACAATTCAATTATTTTCCAGTTGCAGCTATGTATGAAAGGAATTGGATTATCTAGAATTGGATATACAAGCATGTAAACACCTAAAGCATTCCACATCGGATCACACCTTTAAAATATTCCGGAGAAGGGGGTCATGTGATTTGATAAGCTCTCCCCACACCCCAAAGGGTTTGGGTTTTGGGTTGGGGTTGGGGTTGGGCAAACCCCCCTTCCAGATCGTGACTGCCTTTAACCGGTTATCAATGTTTTCATTTTGCATATTTACTTAATCTGTTATTCTATCATTCAATTAAGTATTGTATAATATACGTCAGAGTCGAGAGTTGTGTGAGGAGGTTGTTGATTTAGCTGGATTCCGCTGCACCTCACTGACACAACCAGCAGCAGCAGCAAAACAAGAAGAGAATGAATAGAACATTTGGAAACCGAATATAGAGGTACCCATACCTTGCATTGTTCGTGTGGCTGGTTAATAATAAAGTGATTTGGATGTTCAAGCTGATCAAAGATACCAACCTTTCTTTTTGCATAGCAACTAGCAGATCAAATCATAACCGTAATGCCATCTGAAAGGGTATAACAAGAAGAACCAGAATCAACGTTTGTTGTTGCCGTTATCAATTAGCATGCCATGCCATGAGTGCTCACACAGCTGACCGATCTCACACTTGCTCTTTCTCTCTCTATCTCTTTCTCCATGCACATACACACATCCAAATGACTATGAATCTCCAACCTAATCTCCCAAACACTGTTGCGCATTCTTCTTGTTATGTATGTATGTACAGAGATTGCAGTTTTTGATTTTTATTTTGCTCTTTTCATTCCATGGCGAATCAACGTCACTACGGCAACGACATCTCTAAGGTTAAACCGTTTTATTTTTAACTAAATACATATATGTACATACTACACTAGAATAGGTTGTATGTGTGTGTTTCACTATTTTGTTGTTCTGGCTGAACCCGCAAGTTATCTGCTGTTTTGCTTTGTTGCTGATTCTCTGGCTTTTTGAGAGCTAAGCTAAGCTAATGACATTGCCCAGAGTGCAAACATATGGACAGCTGTGCACGCGTTCCCACTCCTTCACGTGAGCGCAGGTAGGGGGAAGAGTTTGGGAAATGAGTAAATGTGGCTGTATGGGAGGTTTTCAGGTGCCAAAAATACACAACGGAAATGAATGAGTTGTACCCATCATAACATGGAACTTTACGATCGCACCTCGCCGCCAACAGGTCGCTAGTTGTGCACTCAAGTCCGCAAATACATACATACATACATATTCATATGTAAATACATACATACATATGTAGATTTTGTGTTTGCTTTCGTTTTAATTGTCGAACATTTTCGTTGTCTGCCTTTGCCTTTGTTTTGCTGTTGCCAGGCGCAAAAAAAGTGACGCGTTGCCAACAACTGAAATTATTTGCCATTGGCGGCGGAATGGACTTGCATACATATGTATGTATGTATGTACATACATACATATGCACGAGTACATATCAAATGCAGACATTGCCAGACGGCAAAAACCCTGCTCACCCAAAGGGGAGGGGAAATTACTCAGCTCCAATGCCCACAGCCCCCACAACGCCATCCGGCGACCGGTTAGCTGTCTCGGACGTGGACTGATTGTTGCACTCTCTCTCGCTCTCGTTCTCTCTTCTCCGTCGCCCACGCACTTTTAATTGAATTACAGTGGGAACTCTCTAGGCTAGGTCTCAACAAGGTGTATACAACTCCTACATACATAGATCGAAGGCCAGCTGTCAGTGGAATTTTTCAGTGCCCAATGGTTGGTCGAATTAGTGGAGCTTTACTGTACCACCATTCACCGAGAAGGCAACGGCATTTTTCGATTGTATTCACGTGCCGGTTCAAAAAAGTGGCCGAGCCGAGGTAAGTGTTCAGGTAAAACGTTCCCGCAAGGTGGATTTTTTGTTTCGAAATTGCTCGATAAGCAGCCCACAAAAGCAGTAACGATAAGTAAAATATAATAAACCAAGACCGAAAAGATAAAGTTTCAAAAAACCAGATGCAATGCGGACGCGGTCAGCTCTATAATTGCGCTTTTATGCAATGGGGCCACATTTTTGGAATTTTTATGCAAAGCTCTAACAAAAAATGAATGAAATGAATGAGTGTGCCTGCAAGCACAGCTCGTCAGTTTGTAACAACGAGCTCCACTGAAAACCCACAGATACATATGTACATATGTACATACACACGGCTACAAAAATGAGTTGTTCATCTGGTTTGCCGGCTTTGGGGACCAGCTGCAATAACAAATAGCATAATTGACTTTATTTTTAGACACCCACTGGAACTGCAACTGCAACTGCATCTGCATCTGCATCCGCCTGTACACACTGGTACGAGCGCGACAAGCATTTATCGCTTGATTCATACTGGTCTAAAGTCTTCTCCATAGGTTACAATAGTTCCGTCAGTGCTGCCTTGACTTGCCAAAAAAAAACACATTTTTGGTAAACAACATATATGTAACGTAATTTAATTACAGCTCCCCGCCCCCCGACAGACAGTCGGCCTCTTCCCGGTCGGCGTCGCTGTTGCTACGTGCCGTTTGTCTCGCAGCACCCAGCCCTAGCCCTGCCCCGCTGCCCTACAACTTGTGGTCGGTGGTGACAGTGGATTCCATTCCAGTGGATTCTGGTTCGGGTCGTTCTGTTGTTCTTCTTTCTCTCTCCCACATTCCGCGGCCTTGCGGCGAGGGCGCTTTTGTTTGTTTGTGTGTTAAAAGAGAAAAACAACTTAATAATAATTATAAAAAAGAGACAAAAGATATATTGATAGACAAGAGCGATGTAGCGGGACAATGCCTTACAAAGCGATACAAATAAAGCAGACCAGGCCAGACCAGACTGAACTGCAGCTGGAACTTCTCACATTGCGGAAGTGGGGTGTTACGAAAATATAACCCTCACCCTCGTCAGGCGGAAGTTTGCAGTACGCACAAACATCTAAATGGAATTCAGAGAAATTTCTTAACAATTAAAAACTATATACTCCCTGCACTAAAGTTGATCTGTTCAAATACATGCAATTTAATATACATCTTGTTCTTCTTTTCTTTGGCCAGTTTCTCCATCTGTTTCAATGTCAAGGGGTTTCCTACTAACACGACTCCTCCCCCCGTACAGTTTATATTAGCATAGAAAACTTGTTTATAAACAAATAACAATAAAAACTATACATGCATACATACATAGGTATTCTTTCTGATAAGGCACGTTATGAAACGATTTCTAAAAGAACACCACTTGCGGCCTGGACCTGAACTGATAAGAGAACGTAACAAAGAAACTGAAACTGTAGCTTATCATTATATTATCAACATTGTTGGGCCTGGCGCCATAAATACACACAAATTCGTACCAAGATAAAGCTAGGTCACCTTACCAAAGTTTTTCAGCATTGTGGAATATAAAAATTCAAAAGCTGCCGCTCAAATAAGCTATCGATAGACGTTAGAAAGGTCTATCGAATAATAATCAATAACAGCATCGATTTCAATATTATAACCACCACTAGCGATCAGCTGTCGCGATTTATCGAAGCACCACCATCTCAATTGGATTTGGCGCTCAAGTTTGGTGGGACTTTTTGGGGATTTTCTCTGGGATTTTTCCCCTCGACAATGTCCCTTACATTCCATACTCACTTATGTACGTTTTCTTACGTTTTATGCTGCTGGCAACATTAATTTGTATGGGCCAGACTCTTGTTCCGCGGATTGAGCAACATTTTACATACCCTGGGAAATGGATATTATAGAACTGAGAGAATGTTTGTCATCTAATGCACCAATAAAGGCCAAAACTAGTCAGTTTCTGTTTTAAAGGTATTTCAACGATATTTTGAAGGTTTTGGTCTTCTTACAGAAACCAAGAATGGGTATCGAGATCGAGATATATTTACAAGGCCCTAATCACATGCATTAAAATGTCCATAACATAACAAAACATAACAATCTGAGATCATTTCTATATTAATTACGTTTTAAAAAATCTTGGAAAACCAGTTTCTTCATATGTATATCAACGAAATAGGGTATACCTGTGTCCAAACTCCGGTTGGCGCGACATTTCATACTCACTTACGTTACACTCCATATTCACTTACGTGGCCACTGTTTTTTTTTTACCTTTTTTGCTTAAACCTTGTTTTATACAGCATACAATAAAAGAGAGTATTTAAAAGTAGTCAATCGGATAGAAAATTTATTCATTAATGGCCTAAAATAATGTGGGCAGAGCTAATGGTTTTAGTTAGGCAGCATTATTCAACGGAATAAAGAAATTGAATAATTGGAACGATTTTTCTCTTACGTTTTATTCTGTTTCATTTGTTTGACCTTTTTCGCTAAAACCTTTTTTTACGAAAAATCCAATAAAAGCAAGTATTAAAAAAAGCCAGTTAAGTAGAAAAATGATTCATCAATCGTATAAAATTATGTGGGCATGGCTAAATGTTTTATATGATTCGTAATATTAGTAATATTCGACGGAATAAAGAATTTGAGTTTATACTACTGTTGTATGAGCAAAAGTGCCTTGTACGTCTGCCTACAGTGGCTTCAAATGACAGTAAGTCCTGATGTCACAGGGCACTCCCCAAAAACAGCCGCTGTTCCACGGCTATTCCGTGCTTTCCACCTTCTTCGCATTTACAGTTAAAGTCGAGCCACAGAGTCTGCAGCGATGCCGAAACGACAAGCGGCGCCCTTTGGCGCAGTTGTGGCCCACTACTCCCTGCCTCAGCCCCCAGAAGACGATTTTCATAGGAAAACAATTCAAAAAGGAGGAAGAAGAACAGACCCTGGACTGGGGGTAGGGGTAGAACAGCTGTTCGTCTGAGAACCGGATCACTGTCAACGGAGAGCGTCGTTCCGTGGAGATGCATCGTCTGTCGCAGTTCACCGACATCCGGGCCGTGTGGACGTTTCCACAACTGCATAGCCAGCGGGGTGACACGCAGTACTCACGACGTTTGCTCGTGCCCCAAGCATCTGATGCTACTGGATGACTAGGAGAACTACGGCGTGTATCCGGTCAGATAATTTTAGTAATGAAATGAACAGCGACTGTATATACGCCTTCTGGCGCTGTGAAGAAAGGACTGCCCGGCGGATCAGTTCAGCTGACAGTCAGCCGAGGGCAGCGACAAGGCTCTGATCTGCCATGGTACCACCTTTGACAACTGAGACAATGTCCACGATGAGGCCGACTGCTGCAAGCGGCCCGAAGACTTTCAGTGTCCCATCAACAAGGTGAGTGGAAAGACACGATATCTGCCTAAATTCTTAAACTAACAATATCCTACCTATATCGGCCGCCCGGCTCTGAGATGGCTGGCAGGCCTGCGCCAATGGTGCAGACGATTCGTTCGGCGCATGGCCCGGCAAGAGCCACACCGAGCCAATATATCGAGCTCTAATGGCTCCATCGAAGAAAATAAATAAAGCAGCAAGCATAGCCAAAAATAATGTAAAATCACTGCATACTGATATTCTTCTCGCAGGGAAGCACGCCGTCAAGCACTCCCTTTTAAAGACTTTGAAAATGCAATAGAGAACCTGCCGGATAATTCATTTCAGGGGCAACGCGACCAAGCTGCGGATGAAGATGGCGCGAAAAGACTCTGGACGAGTGTGCCAGGTTACCACTACCACAATGCCTTCTACAAGGACAAATGTGTAGTTGGCGTGTATTAACATATAAGGAAATGAATTAAGTGGAAATTGTTTTGGCTTAAACCTTATTTTAGACACAATTAAAATCAGTGGAGCCCTTCGGCCAAGCGTCAGAATTTACACAAGCGCAGAGCTGACGGGAACAACCACGCCATCCGTTTGGAGGAGAATCGTTTCCGATCCGACAACAACAACAAAAGCAATCAGGCGCAGCAGCAACAACCGGCAGCTGCCAAGGTAGATGTCACTCCACCATCCGAAGCATCCGAGGACTCCGACGACTCGGGCGTCAGTTGGGATGAGCTGAGCTCAGTGCCGTGTCCGATTCCTCTCGCCGCAATATCAACAATAGCAACGAAATCAATACAGATTAAATCCACGAAGCGGATCCCAATACCATACGTCGCCACCTTCCTTTTGGGCTGCCCCTGCAGCAGCAGGACGCTCTATGTCCTGCTCTGCGGGCACCAGTCCTTCCCCTTCGGCAAGCTCCGATTTTTCTGCCGGATCCACTCCAACATTTGTTGCGCTTCGTATTTTGATAATGCTGTAGATAAGCTTGAAAAGAAGCGCGAGTATGATGGGCCCAGCCAGGACCCCCACCCAGTGGGCGCAGTGGGAAGTCCAGACGACGACGACCGGTGGCTCAGGGGTCGGTGGCTGGAAATATCTGTATGCCTTCAGGCCGACTTTTTCCACATCCGCAATACACTCAGAAACCATCTTACAGGAAGGCACTTCATTCGCTATTCGGGAAAAGAAAACTCCTATGATTCGAATTAAACTGTTTTCAATTGAAATCGCACCTCTAGAAAGAACACCAAGAGCTCGCTGAGGCTCTGATCCGTTCGACACGAAGACACTGCATCCCGAAATTGAATGAAGACGAAATTTCGTTAACTGGAACAAACAATTTTGTAGGAAAAAATATATAATTTCCGCTTTATTTTAGATCCCTGTGGAAAAAGGTGACAACTTAAGTTTAGGAAATTGAAATAATCGAATGAAATTATGAGTTCAGAGCAGAGTGTCTCAGATAGCTAGAAATATTCAACGGAATATCAAACTTGTCAGTATCTGTTTAAAAGGTACTTCAGAGGCCAAGAATTGGTATCGGGATCAGGATATTAACGAAATAGGGTATACAAAGGCCTATACACGCATCATGTCTTTAAATACCAGCAATATTGCGACTGTTTTTTTTTTGTTGAACTATTTTGTTTAAGCCTTGTTTTAGTCAGAATACAATAAAAGCATGGACTAAAAACTAGCCAATCTTGTAGAAAATGTATTCATCAATGGAATAAAACTATGTGGGCATGGCTGAGGGCTTTAGTTAGCCAGCATTATTCAACGGAATATCAAAATCGAGCAATATGTATAATGGAAATTGAATTCGTCAGTGTATTTACGGTAGATTTTGAGAATGAGACGGTATATTTTGGTATCCGTATCAGACCGTATATTTTTATGATAAATCTGCGGTCACACTGCGCACCTGTTAAATTTTTTATTAAGAAGGGTGTTTTTGCGTTAAAAATCGGCTATTTTTGTTTGGAATTTACTCTATTGGTAATAAGAAAACCCCTACCAATGTGTTGAAGGAGTTAAGAGTGTCAAAATTGCCATTGAGATCAGTGAAATTCTTGTGTCTCAATTTGGCAAGACCCGTTGTTGTTGTTGGTGCTGAACGTCTCGGCCTGTGCTGGTCAATTTGGCTTGCTAAAACGGCCGATCGTGGGCAGAAAGGGAGATAAATCTGTGAAACAACCGGATCTAGCAAGAAACAGGCCAATTGGCCAGCACTTTCAGACAAAAACACACACACTTTTTATATGAAAATTTTGTTTTGCAGAGTGTTTCTCTTGCCGTGATCTAAAAACGTTGTACGTACGCAATCGCAATCCAATTGGCGAGCCGTGGGCAAGTGCAACAAGTGAAAGCCAGTTAAACAGATAGAATGCCACCTGTGCAGTAAGCTGAATATTCCGTCCACCCCAAAAACGTATTAACGTCCTTGGCATCGCCTCGCTGTGTCCTGCAATTACATCACTAGCACACGACCTCAGGCCCAGCAGTGACCCACTTGATTGCTTCATTCATTCATATTTTCCCAAAAACTCGTCCACATCGTAATTTGACAGCTTTTAATGCTAAATAATATGCAAATTAACTATGCTTTTGGCCAGCATTCATCCATTGTGCCATCTGCGGCACGCCTTAGACCCCAAAAGATGCACTTTTGGTGTTGTTAATGCGCCAGATGTTTACTCCATCGATGACGTCATGGACACATTCAAATTTATTAATAGACCCCTGCCGCCGCTTCTGTTGTTTACTATTTGCTTGTGTGTGTGTGTGTGTGTGTGTCCGTGTGGCGATGAGTGGGATTGTGTGTGTGCGTGTTGGCGGCAAATCCAAATTCAATTTAATTTATCAAAGAAACCATTTAAAAACCGAGAAACTGCCCCCATCCGAACATTTTAACTCTTGCACCTCAACTGAAATTCCGAAAGCTCCAGCGAGCCCAGGCAAAAGGAATGGCGTAGCTTTTGAATACCCTTGCAGAGGGTATCACCATTTTTCACAGATTTTAGAAACCTAAGAAAGGCAACATCTAAAAACCATAAAGGGAATCCATAAACCATCCGTCTGTCCGTTTCTATGGAAAATATTCCTCAGAATATCCGTCTGTAGTTTCAGGTGTCTTTTCATAGAAAAATCAATCTGCAAGGGTATTTAAAGGGCCGCCCAAGCCTTAAATTACTTGGATTGGGACCCTCTTGTCTGAAATATGATTCATCAAGCGTCAGTCAACATTGGCTGATAAGGCCGGCCGCATTCTCTCCATTCACTCGCTTCATGCCCAGCCCTAAAGTTGTGCTCATTTGTGTCTCAATTCTTAAAATCATAAAACCCAACCATGATGTACTCAAAAGCTGAAACGTAACCAATCCCGCACTTTAGAGCCATGAAATGATGGCCACTTATGCTGATCTCATCTTCTTTTTTGACATTGCAGAGTCCAGGCCGTGAACATGTCGCTGGGTGCAATGCATTGCACGCGTTGCGCCGACGGCTTCGAGCCCACCGAGAAGATTGTCAACTCCAATGGAGAGCTCTGGCATACGCATTGTTTTGTGTGAGTCCCAGATCTGCTCGTTTTGTATTCCCTTCTGTATTCACGCTTTCCTGCGGCTTGTTTTCAGCTGCGCTCAGTGCTTCCGACCATTCCAGGATGGGATCTTCTACGAGTTCGAGGGCCGCAAGTACTGCGAACGTGACTTCCATGTACTCTTCGCCCCCTGCTGCAACAGGTGCGGGGAATTTGTCATCGGACGCGTTATCAAGGCGATGTCCGCAAGCTGGCATCCGCAATGCTTCCGCTGCCAGTTGTGTGCCAAGGAGCTGGCCGACAGCGGTTTTATCAAGAATCAGAATCGCGCTTTATGCCACGAGTGCAATGCCAAGGTGAAGGCAGAGATCACCGGTCGCTATGTATGCCAAAAATGCCAGTAAGTTCCGGCCCAGTCTTGGACACTGCTTATAACTTTTTAATCTAATTTCGGATGAATCTCCGCAGCGGCCTTATTGACGAGGAGCCACTGCGTTTCCGTGGCGAGGTCTACCATGGCTATCACTTCAGTTGCACGGCCTGCGGCACCGAACTCGATTCCACGGCGAGAGAGGTGAAGAGCCGCCCGGGGCTGGCGGCCAACGATATGGTGTGTCCTCTAATTACTGTCTTTCCAATTGATTGATTCCCTAACGCTGCACCTAATCTCTCGCACAGAATGAATTGTATTGTCTCCGCTGCCATGATAAGATGGGGATACCTATTTGTGGGGCCTGCCGTCGGCCGATTGAGGAGCGTGTGGTCACTGCATTGGGCAAGCACTGGCATGTGGAGCATTTTGTGTGCGCCAAGTGCGAGAAGCCTTTCCTGGGGCATCGGCACTACGAGAAGCGTGGCCTGGCCTACTGCGAGACGCATTACCATCAGCTCTTTGGAAATCTTTGCTTTGTCTGCAACCAGGTCATTGGCGGCGATGGTGAGCAAATTAACTTCCCTAAACGATTTCCTTTTAATCCTTTTTAATTTCTTATCCCTTAACAGTGTTCACGGCCCTCAATAAAGCCTGGTGTGTGCATCATTTTGCCTGCTCTGTGTGCGACACGAAAATGACTCAGAAATCCAAGTTCTATGAGTACGACGAGAAGCCCGTGTGCAAAAAGTGCTACGAACGCTTCCCGAACGAGCTGCGGCGCCGCCTCCGCACTGCCCACGAGATGACAATGAAGAAAAACGTCTAAATCGAGTTCAGTCAAATCCTGGGGCTGCTGCATGCCAATCCACACCAAAACAGTGCCTTTTGTCGTTGTATTCTCTCTCCGTTTTTGTCTATGTCTAACATCCTAACAGCATGTCCTGCTTTGTGTAACCCCGCCCCTTATTTCGTGTGTGTAATTTCTAATGTAAAAAACTTTAATCAACGGCAGCTAAACGCTAAGAAAAACAGACGAAACAGATGAATGTATTAACAGCTTTTAATGTTGTTATTTAATGCAATTTTATTTATATATAAATGTTTTTTAAAATGATTCTGAACATGCATTCGCTTAGTCTGAGAGATTTGGTATTTGAAATTGTAGGGGAATCCCCTACATTGTCTCTAGTTTCTTGATCAATTCATTGCATTTGATCCAAGCCACATTCTTCATATAGAAAACGGCATCAACGTGAATGATTTCGTGCACTTTTAGGGCCTCAGACAAGTAAGCAATCTGCTCGGCATTCGGTTTATGGGGGAAATCTGTGAGAAAGAAAAATTAGATGCCACACTTTTAAAGACTTTGCAGACATATGCATGCAAACCAAACCTTCAATCATGCAAATGCTGGTAATACAAGGAAAATCCAAATCCACCGGATATCGGCATATATCCTCCCCGGTTACTTCTTCGATGTTTGTGTAGTCCAGGTATGTCATGCGGTAAACTGTCTGCTGTGTCTGCGGCGTTTGCTTGATCTGCTCCACTTTGGCACGATAGAAGCTGTTCTCAAATTTGGCCAAAACATATTCCTTTAGACTGTGTGTGCGAACAGAGCAACATCCATCAATCAGATATATATGATTAAGTATATGTATAAAGTATTATGATCACCTACACTGGCGTATAGGGTTTCGATGGACTAATTTTGGATATGGCTGTATTCAAACGTCCAAATTCGCTGGCCAAGACACGATCAAAGGCGCCAAACATGCCACGAGACAGTTTGGAATTATCCACAATGTATAAATCGATGCCCGCCTTGTCACTGACACTCAATAGTTTCATCTCAAAGGGCTGCCGTTGGAGATAAAAAAGAAAGAGTAGAATGGAAATCAACCAACGAATAATACTCACCGGCACTAAAATCGGTCCATTGTTGGACCCTTCAGCTCCATTGACTTTAGGTGCGAGTGGTATCCCGTTCAGTTTGGGGGAAATGGTTTTGTCGACTGTCTTCAGTTCGATTTTTTCCTCAGGGAGCACATCAATTTCTGTGGCTGCTGTTGTAGCAGTTAATTCTGCAGCCTTCAATTCTAATGGGAATTCTTTAACTGATGTTGGCTCATCTTTTGGCAGTTCCTTTGCAGGCGAGACAGATGCCTCAGTTGGTAGTGTTTCTTTGATCGGCATGCTCCTTGTCTCTGTCTGCTTCAATGGTTCTTGAGACGGCGCCACTGTTGGAGGAGCGGCATCATCCTTTGCTGCCACATTCGGGCCTTCCTCCAGAGGCTTTACCGCAGCTGAAACACTACTCTCCATCTGCTCCCCATTTGAGTATACATTCTTGCTATTGTAAACCTTTTTTGTGGAGCAATATTCACGCACCGTCTCATTCAGTGACTTTTGCGTTTTTACATTCACAAGCTCTACAAGGATTTTGTTATAATTGGTGACAGAGTCGTACTGCATGATGCATTTTTCACCATCGAATTGTGAGAGAAAGTCAAGGATATCGTTGGTTATGCTATAGTTGTGCACGTCCTTGAGTTGCACCAGAAAACAGAAGCTCGGGAGAGCCAGTATCTCGTCGCTTATTTCGCGCATGGAATCAAAATTGCGTATCTTGGTTATACCCTGATCCACGAACAGAAGCTTGGCGGATTTATCCGGGCGCGTCTGCAGAACCTTGGCCCGTTGGAATGCGCCATTATGGAGCGCTAACACGAAGCCGTGGATTCGAGGATTCTTTACTCTTGGCATCTCGTTACCCAGCGCATTGACCTAAAAGCACACAATGCTAGTATTTGGGGAGGTAATGTAACCATCAACGAACCTTCTCGCACACTTGGGAATATGCTTGGTCAGCGGAAACGCTGCGCACTAAGCAGCGATTCGCAGAGCGGAAGCCACTTATGATGACCACACTATTGCTGGCCGGTATTACCACAGTCGGCAGGGACGTGGTTTTGTTTTTCGTTTTAATGCTCTCACTGCTCGGGGTCGGGATGTTTTTAGTATCTGCTGCAGCCATACGTGCGGCAATTCCACTTATAGTTGGAGTGTTGCTGCAGCTGCTGGTGCTGCTAACCTTATCGTTGATACTCGCATCATTAGGCATAGGAGCTGCAGACGCTTTAATCGAACCGGCCTTGGATACACTTGCAATGTCCATCGATAGCTCCTCCTGGGATTGCAGAATCGAAAATGCCTCGGGCATCACCAAAGCCGGCATCGGAAAGCAGATATAGCGGTGGCGCTGCCAGTCCATTATCTGGCACTCCTTCGAGCAGTAAAAGTCCCCACATCGCTGACAGACTCGCTCCGCCACGACTGCGCAGAGTACGCAATGGGCTTGTCCTTTTTTCCCCCCGGGCGCCGGGAGCTATGCAACATTTCAGGCATTTCCGTAAAACTCTTCAAATATATAAAACTTTCATTGCCAGTATCCGCACTTACCTTAACAGAAGAAGCTGCTATTTTTTTCGGCGGCATTTCCTTTTTTTCAAAAGTCCAAAAATTTTTTGCTTTTCGTGTCCCGGCAGTGTGACCGCGGATTTATTGTAAACGGGCATAACCTCAGAAATTTACCAAATATACCGTCTCATCTTCAAAATATACAGTAAGTATACTGACGAATTATTCAAGTTCCATCATACATATTTCTCTTTTTTGATATTCCGTTGAATATTACTAGCTTTTCCTTTTAATGAATTTTGTCTAAACAAAAGGTTTCAGCGAAAACGGTCAAACAAGTAATGCTCAATTTTGAAATTCCCAACGACGCGTTGGTTAGTGTGACCACATGCTCGAATTTTGGAAAATGAAAAGCTTACTTTAGAAGACCATCTAACTTGGCGCGAACGTACTTTTGCTTTTGGGGAGTTTAAATTTATCAGCTCTGATCGGAAATAACTGAAAATGGATTTAGTTCGGTTTTAAGAGTTGGGCTGCCATATCTTTTAAAAAAAGCTTGTTTCCTAGTCAGCTGTTACGATTAACCCATTTTCGACCAGTGCTGTTGAGCGGTTTTAATTGAGATTTTGTTGGTTTATTAAGAGTTATATTTTATCAATTTGATCTATTAAATTAAATTTGTAAAGGTATATTTATGAACAAAGGATATTTTTTAGACAGCGAGCTTTTTGAATTGAATTGACAGGCAATAGAGAGATGATATAAAATATACACTCGGGCTTCGCCCGAACGGATATAGAAACATCCATACACAGGGTTTTTGAATTTTTTCTCTCTCAAATCCATGCATTTCAATCCGTGTTGCTCATTGATTTTTAAAAAATTTATATTTGGTTGTGGTCCCACCACGTTTGGACGGACGTGCTCTCTTTTTTCTGTGATTTGCTCCCTATTTTGTGATGGGATATTATAGAATAGAATAGAATAAATTTTTGTCATCCCAGGCTCCAATTAAGGCATAAACTAGTAAGTCTCTGTTTTAAAGCTATCACAACGAAATCTTGCAGTTTTTTGTCTTCTTACAGAGACCAAGAATGAGTATTGGGATCTTCGGCGGGAAACTAATCAAATGCATGAATTCGTCTAGAACATATCAAAAAATTTCTTTATTATTTACGTTTTTTATTAAATGGTGTATTCAAATGATTATACTCTGGTTGATAAGCAACAAGTCTTCAAATACCATCAACATTGACGTGACAACATTGCGACTGTTTTTTTTTTTGTTTAGCTTTTTTGTTTAAACTTTGTTTAAGTCAAAATTCAATAAATGGGAGTACTTAAAAGTAGCTAATCGTGAACCTATATTTATCAATGGACTAACATTTTGAGGCCAGAGCTAAGGGTTTAAGTTAGTCAACATTTTTTAACGGAATATCTAAATTGATCAATAGGAACGATTTTTCTCTTAAGTTTTTAGACCTTTTTTTAGACAAAACCCAAATCAGTCAGGTAGAAAATTGATTCATTAATCGGATAAAACTATGTGCTTAGGGCTGACTGTTTTATCTAGCTAGTAATATTCGACGGAATATCAAAAGCGAGAAATATGTACGATGGAACTTGACTTCGTCAGTATATTTACGGTATATTTTTAAAACGAGATAGTATATATTGGTATATTTCTGAGGGTCGGACGGTATATTTTACCGTTAAATCCGCGGTCACACTGCCAATAAGTCGGCGCTGGCAGAGAAAATTCTGCCGCGAACCGCAAAACAGCGCAATCTTGTCGAATTTCTTCTGAATTTCCGTTGATTTTGTCGAGTTTTTAGAGATTCGGTGGAGAGCGGCGGGATAAAAGCAACGGTTAATACTTCCCCCTTTAATTTAGATCCGTGCAACGGATCCGCTTCGCACGGTGAAGGAGGGGAATGTGAGGAGGAATTGATCAAAACAAAGCGTATGCGAATTATCCAAAACATCCAACTAGTGCGCGTCCAGAAAATAAATAAGTAAAAACTGCAGTGGATAAATTAAACGCATTTGTTTGGATCCCTGTCCGGACGTTCGATACTGGCGAAATTATCAAATAAATTAAATATAGCGCCGACGCGACGCGAGTGGGCGACAACAACAAAAAGTTGATTGTTATTCGAGAAGTCAAAAGTCAACAAAAAAACTTAAGAATCTGCTGGAGAACCCAAAATTCGTATTGATTTTCTTGATTTTGTGTGCGGGTCCGTGAAAAACGTAACAAAAGCAACCACTTTGAGACGACATTAGTCCCATTCCCCCCTACCGCCATCCAACCACCCATTCGCTTGCACCTTGCGTACACACTCTCGTACGGAGGAGAGCATAAGTGGCGGATAATCATCAACTCTGTTGCACTGGGCCTCCACTCCAATCAGCAATGTCGTAGACAAGTGGCAGTGGGTCTCGTCGTTGTTGTTGTCTGCTTTTTGTAGTATAGCTAGTAGTTTATTAATCAAGCAGGCCAGCCAGCCCCACTGTGCGAATACGAGAGTGCAAGCGCGAGAGAGGGCGCTGCAGGCAAGGCAACAACAAAAGCGAAAGTTGCCGTGCGCCGTGCGTAGATTTGTGTGTGTGTGTGTGTGTAAAGATGGTGGATACGAAATGAGAAATAAATAAATGCAAATCCAAAGCAAATCTTCCGCCTCAAAATGTGCGATTGCCATCATCCGATTGTCATATAAAAAGGAATTCCGCTGACACAGTATCGCTGAGAGGGAAGAGGGCCCCCACCACATAGGGAGTGGCCGGCAGAAGGTTTTTGGGATTATTGCAAAATTGGATTTTCGCCATCAACCAAAAAAAACAACAACAACAACAGCAGCTGGAGTAACAGTAGCAGTAGAAGGAACAACAACAAAGACAACAAAATGTGGATACCATCGAACAACAAATACGGAGTTGGTTAGTATTGTAATTGTACAAAAGAAGAGGAGGCATTTGGGGTTGGTGTGCATTTGTGTGTGTGTGTTTGTGTAGGGATATCCTCCTAACAAATAGTAAGGCAGAGCTTGCTCTTTGGTGCTCGCTCTCCCGAACGGTTTCACCTTTTACTTGATACACCTTGTCCACCACCCACCCACCCACTGGGGAGCACAGCATGAAGGGCTGGGATGTGATGGCAGGAGGGGTATGCGTCACGTGCGCTTTTACACCGTTACGTTGGTGTTCTGTTCTGTTCTGTTTTGTTCTGTTATTGTTGTTGCCTTTCGCGTTGATTCACAGTTTTTTCCGCGAAACGACGGAAAGCAGCATCCAGACAACCAACCACCCCCTCACTGGGCAGCAGGGGAGGAAAAGCGATTTTTCAGCTTATTTTTATATACACACGAGTCGTCTGTAGCATCATCATCATCATCCGTCCTTCCGCCCGTTTGTTCGTCTTTCTCAAAGAGATTTCTTGCATGTTTGTTGCTGCCGAGCGCAGCGATTTGATGTGTTTATACGTACCTCCCTTTTCCCACACAGTCGTCGCTCCCCCGCTTCGGCAGGCAACCACTCGACGTTTCCCATACAGCCGTCGCCCCCTCCCGACCATCCACACTGTTGCTGTTGCTGTCGCGTTGCCAATTGCCTTTGTGCCAGGTGTTGCCAATTTAAATGCTTTTCTAATTACAGTTTTGTACGTTGCACGTTGCTGTGGAGTGGTGGCCACAATTCTGCGGCTGCCAGTGTTGGCTATATACATATTTACTTGGAAGGAAAATCCACTTTTGATAAGAGCTTACCCAAGGTGTATTTGTGTAAGGTGAAGGATTTCCTGAGAGCACTCACGCGAAAGCTCATTTGAAGACGCAACTAGCGCGAGAGAAGGCAAACTCAAGAGAGAGAGAGAGAGAGATGTAATGGAATGCCTCACCTCATCAAAATATACCTTAATTTGGACTCTAGTGCGAAAGCATATAAAAAGTAGATCTTTCTGTCTCTTCTGTCTCTTTCCCTCTTTGTTCACATTTCTCGTATTCAACTGTTTTTTGTTTTCTCTTTTCTGTTGCATTTTCACATTATCTTCGTGTTCGTCACACTTTTCGCATCAATGGCAACGCTTAACAAATTACTGCAGGGACCAGTGGCAGGGGGCAACAAAGAGAGCCCCTCCCCCCCTGTCTAGCAGCAGAATGAAGATTCTGTGCCAAGTTTCATTCATTGTGCTGCTTGAATGGGTTCCTGTCCAGATAAGCGCCAATTCTCAATGATGCTGCAATTTATACCCTGAGTAAAAGTGTACCGACTATCATAAAGACTCGACAGAAATCAAAGATAACTGAAGACTAAACTGTAAACAGATTGTGCACAAAAATAGGGAATAATAATAATAATAGTTTGCAATATGTACTCCTCTTCAAGGGTACCTCACATTCGTTGCAACTACATATGTTTCTAGTACATGTCTTACCATGTTTATATATTTTTTATTTTCTTGCTTCGATGTTGTTGTTCCAGTTCCCAAAGCGATCGTCTGTGAAGGCAGTTCATTGTGTGTTCTTTTCCTGATTGCTTGCTCTACATTGAATACCCGCCAGCAGCAGCGAGTGACATGAGAGCGGTCAAAGTTTACACAAATCAATCAGTCACTCCATCAGACATCGCATCGGGAAAGTCCATGATAACATCATTAGCGCAGCACGTCCCGGCGCTCTGGGAGCGCTGTCAAGCCAACGCCCTAACCTTGCACAATGCCCGTTGTCCGTTGTCATCCTCCTCCTTCTCCGCCCCCTCCTCTGCCACGTGCTGGGCAATGACTTCATTACCAGAGCGCACTCTTTGTCTCTTTCCCTAAATCGTCCCCTCTTCTCTTACTCTTGGTCTCTTTCCCCCTTCGTCTCGTCGCTGAAGTAATTATCTTACCGTTGTGCTGCATATCGTTTTTGTTGTTGTTTGTCTCCGTCGAGTGCACACACTGGCGGGCGACAACTTTACAGTGGAGTCCCACTCCCACTCCCACTTCCAGTCCCCGTCCCACCCTCTCCCAGAATCTCCCAGAATGAGGTGCAACCCTCGGCCTGGCCTATGCGGGTCAGTTCCATCTGGAAACTGTAGCTGAAGCTGGAGCGGAATCTGTGCTGCCTTTGCGTTTAGTTTACGAAAGTTTTTATTATTTTTTTTTTGGCAAAAGTTTTAGACAGAAGGAAGCCCTGCCTCAGCCTCAGCCTATCCACCGGATGTTGCTGCTGCTGCTGCCGCCGCCGATGTCGGTCTGCCTTTTCCAGTGAATTCCGCTGTCGCTGCGGCAATTTCAGTTTCAACTTTAATTTAATATTCATTTTATGCATTTGGCCAATGGAGCGGCCCCGGTCCGGAGTTGCGTTTGAGTTTGAGTTGTGCGCGCACAAATTTGTGCAGGCGCTTCCTTCCCCAGAACACACGCACACGCACACGCACACACACTCACACAAAACACTCACAAAAGACTCACACAAGTGAACATGAGTGCGCATAAAATTGATTCATTTCCATTCCATTGTTTAATATGCTTGGCGGCAACGTTTTTCTTTCTTTTTTTTTTTTTGTATACCCTGTTATTGTGGGACACAAGGGTATGTAAGAGCCTGTGCGCCCTTGAAATATATTTCCCTGCTCAGGATGATCATTGGAGTAGATCTCAAGCTTAGATCCGCATGTCCCCGAACATATTCGAGGCTATAAACACTACAGCATACTAGTTTATCGTATAAAAAGGTTCCAGGACTCATGCGGCCCAAACGACCCCAAACTTAAGCTTCCGCCCGACCGACCGATGTCCGCCTGACACGTGCTACCGCCGTCGGTCGCGTGCCTCCATCAAAGGGTAGAAATTAGAGTAAAACGAAAAAAAAATATATAACAATTGATTAACCATTCACCATAACTCAACGAATTGGGATCATTAAAACCGATAGATTTTTTTTGAAATTTGGCCAGGAATCCACGAATATGTAATGCTTATGGAGTATCCATTTGGTCGAGACCCTCTCGTCTCTACCGTTCTTACATTGTTTCTGTTTCTGTTTCCGTGTGTGACTTCTCTCTCTTCCATGTCCATCTCCATTTCGGCAGTTGATTTGTACTTCCATAATTCGTCTTTAACGATTTATTCATGAATCGCCATTTGGATGGAGGGACATTGCGTGATTAACAACCCAAACACACGCACACACTGATAAAAATTATCTATTGTACATTTCCCCCCATTTTGGCCGCATTATCGGTCACATTTCCGGATGGGAAAAGTGTCCCCAACCCCAACGCCAACCCCAACCCCACTTCCATTCCCAATCATCCGTTGTCTGATTTATGTTAATGTCAAATGAATGAAATGCATTGAAGAGGGGCTCGACTAGGGCTACACTTATTGATAAGAAAACCGTATAGTACTCCGCCCTCACCTGCTGGGGGCCATCCCCCCCATTGATAAAGTGTTTAAATAATTATCGTAATGATGAGTAAATATTGTAAAAATAATCGACAAGTGTGTGTTTAATACGGCTTCCGGCTTCGAGGTATCGTCCAGACATGGGACAGCAGGGACAACAGTCGCCGCTTATTGATTCGTCTGAATTCGTCTCCATTTGGGGGCGAAATGAGCAAACAAATGGTCAGCGCCAAATGTGCACCATGTGGATTTCGAATGCTCATTTCGATAAAAAAATAAACAAAAAGGAAATGCCGAGGCATTTACACTCTTGCAGAAGATCATGAAACATCATGAATCATTCCAAAAGATTATAAAAATTAGAATCTCTGAGAAAACTCTAAATAAACCTGTACTAAAGATAGATCGGTGCATTTCGGTGTCATTCAGAAAGCGATAAAATATCAGGAACTCTGCTCTTGGTTCATTCCCTGAGCGACGGACATCTGGTCAACATCATAATACCCTCTCAAAGGGTGTACAAAACCGAACAGAAATTGCATAAAAAAGAACAACATTCAATTAAGTGGCATATGCAATGCATTTAATTACAAAAATGCCAGCAACAATAACAGAAACAAAATGCATATAATAAGCAAATATTGCCAGGCCCCATCCACATGCTTACACGTACATCCCCATACGGATACTATATACATTTAAATGATATATGTACATACGTACCGTAAAGATATAATATACGACTGATGGGCACAGAAACCACTTGACAATGGAGAGTTCTCTCGCTCTCTGAAGAGGGAGATGTGAGTTGAGGCTGTAGATGGAGTGCAAAACTTTTTTGTTTTCTTTTGTTCGGATAGATACTGCCTCAGAACTAGTTTGACAGCATCAGACATTCAGGCAACTCCATTATTCCGACAATGGTAATGACAATGACATCTGATTGACATTTGGGTCAGGCTTCCTGCTATAAAGACATGTAAAAATGCACATAAAAACATATGTATGTACCATTAAACCGCCGGCAAATACTCTTCTTAATCCACTTTATTTTTGTGTGTACATAATAATATTGATAAGATACGCGAAAATTATATAAAACTCAAGATTGAACAGGTTATTGCAATCATCAATTTTGATTAGAGCTTTGTATTCGGGATAGTCCCCGAATTTAGAATTAGAACAGTAGCGATTTGATATTTGAAGGTAATTTTAATGGTCATTTCCGCCCACACAAAGGACGAAAATCTGTGGCATCCACAATTTTAAAAATAAGCAGACTCATAGGGAATGGCTATATCTGCCAGAATGCCAAATTTGGATCAGATCGGATCATTATTATAAGGAAGAAATCAATTTTTAGTGGCTACGCAGCGCCCGACGACACGTTCCGAGTATTTTTTGTCTCTCCCGCACGCCCTCTTTGTCGCTCAATGTTATCGTCGTCTGCTGGAGGAGAGCCATACTGACTATTTATGTATTTATTGAATTAACAATTATCTGTTAATAATGGTACTTACAAAAGGAGGAAAAAAGAGAAGTTTTTTAGTTAAATTTATGTGATTATAAATATTGCATGCTATTAGTTTAAGGGATAGTTCAGGGGATAAGGTATGACAGAGGGTGCTATAATTATGACATATATGTCATATATGACCATGTAGAATATCGTATAAATGTAGAGTTGCGGTCGCAGCAGCAAATCACAACGTTCCCCCTCGTTATTGATTGAAATTTGCATAAAGATCTTATCCAAAATCCCAATAAGGACGACATTCAGACTTAAACGAGATATCTCAATCGGGCACTGTCATCTCAAGATATTGGAAAAAAGCTACGGTTCACTCTTGTAGATTCTCTGAAATAGAGCGGGATTTCGGGTATTAAAGATTAATACATATGTAAATCACAAAAAAGGTCCAAGCCTTTTAATTATAATAAATATTTTTCATTGAATATTTATTTTTATTATTTTTGTATAATTCTATTCATTTTAGTTTTTCTTTAAACGTGTTAATGTTTGAGATAAGGTTGTTCGCTTGCCTAACATTATAATCCGCACTGTACATATATACATATATTCGTTTCTAAAGTAGATAAGATTCCAGACTTACATATCTATGTTCTGTACTGTATATGCAAACACCCAGTTCGGATATGATTTCGCACAATACGATGTTCTAGCCGTCAGTTGGACAGCAAGCAGAGTGGCGCAGTGGAAGCGTGCTGGGCCCATAACCCAGAGGTCCGAGGATCGAAACCTTGCTCTGCTAATGCGAAGCCCACAGTGTAGTGTGGATTTATCTTTTTTTTTTCTCTTTTTCTTATCATAAAAATATGATTCAAATAATATCCCAAACCGATTTCAAATTTGGCCACGAAAAAACACCACTTGACCTAAATTTCCTGGTGGTTTCCCTTTCCGCTGCCAAAGAGAGTTCCACTTTGTGGGCGACCTCGCTTTGTTGGGTTATAACACAATTAATTAATTAAATTCTTGAGCCTCCCCTCCCCTTACCTACCGAGTGCCACTTGAGTGCCGAGTGCCGAGCGTCGGGAGCAGAAGGGGAGAAGAAGGGAGGGTCAAGTGTGAAGATATCTCTCTCTCCGCCCGCCACAAGACCCCTTTTGCGGGCCCCACGGCGCAGGCACATCCGCCTGCTCATTTAATCCATTTGTAGTAGTGCAGGGAAACCCTGCCCCTGCCTCTACCCCTGCCTCTGCCCTGCTATTTAATTTTACCCTTATCAAGGGGTATTGGGATTATGAGAGGATCTTTGCAGCGCAGAGAAGGAAGTATTTGAGAATAAAATGTATTTATGCTTTACTGAGGGGTTAAAATGAGTTTAATAAATTTCTATAATAGTTAGGAGGCTGTATCTTCGAGATCTTCACACTTGAAGGCATGTTCATACTTCCATATAGCCATATATAATAATAGTGCCATACTTAATATAAAATTCCTAAAAATAAATAGTTTATTTTACTCTAAAATAATTGATCATTTTTGTTTGCGTCAACAAAAACTTCAAGGCTCTTAAGGGAGGCAAATACATTTGTTTATCCAAGTTATTTATCCAATCATCTTACACTTGCCTTAAGCCCTAAGTGTCCCAATGCTACAGCGGTTTCCTTCGCTATAAGGATAAGTATTCGTTACAAGGAGATCTAAAGGAACTGGTAGTACGGTAGTGCGACTGTATTTACATATGTTTCTATATAGATACTGTGTAACGAGTGTCTTAATGTCGAGCTACGTGTGCCTCGACCATTCGATTTGTATTGCGCCTCAATTTTCAAGGTTTTTGGCTAAAGACTCACTGAGTTTTCCCTTAAACCGTAAACGACAAAGGGCATACAGGCTTCGGTGCACGGAAGTTCCTTTTTTCATTTAATTTAAATTTATTTGCGCCTGTCCCGTCCCTCCACCTGGGGCCTCTCCGCCTTCCCCGCTCTCTTTCTCTGGGTTTGTTTTGCTCTCTTTTGTTGTGTCGTTCTCTTCCCTCCTTCCCCTCCCTCTGCCTTGCTCTCTATCCTTTTTGCATGCACTTGCCTTAACGACTTTTTATTTAAATACGGTTTTTGTTGACATTGCGAACTTGTTGGCGGAGTGTGCATTGTGCTCTCTCTCTCTCTCTTGCAGTGTCCCTCTGCCTATTGCTTTCTGTGTCCCCTGTGTCCTCTTTCTATCCATCTTTTGCCTCTTTTTTCGGTCTGGGAATGATGTAAGCTCCCGTGGAGAGGAAGCCTTTTGGGATATGATATGATGCATTCATCATAAAAGTAATTAAATGTGGGGATACCACCTCCTCGCGGCCCCCCACTCCACCCCATGACAATTTAATGAAATTTAATATTAAATTTTGAAAGCCAGCTAAATGCTCATTAAAAGTATTCCTTGCTGTGGCCATGGAAGGGGTGGATACGGATAGGGTTATGGCTATGCCTTGGAGGGGGTTGGGGAGCTTCTGTTGGGCCACTGGGTGTGGACTTTGGGGCTGTGTTCTGGGCGCACTTGGGCGCTTGCCAGGCTGACGCCTTTCCGCTAATGTGAGTGACCCAAATAGTGCAAACGCTTGGCTGGCATTCTGCCTACTCGGCAGAGCAGCCCCGGCCCTCTCCACGGAGTGTACTCTCATTTGCCGGAGTGTGTTTGCCTGCCCCGGAGAAGCATGATGAAGTGCCGCCGGATCTTCAACTGGCATTTTAAATTATACAATTTTCGCTATTTAGCATCACTCGCTCGCTCTCAGAATTCATTTAAAATCTGGCTGCAGAATCACAAATTGAAGCCGGTTAGAGGCGGTTGAAGGATGGTTGAAGAGAAAGAGATAGAGAGAGAACGAGCTCTTGAACAAACCCCATAAAACAGACACACCATGCGGCAGGCGGCAACAACAGGAAGCAGTTTGCCCATTTTCATGCCACTGAAGCATTTCATTTTCCATCTCATCCTCAACAGCCACCCACTCTCCCCACACCCCCCACTCCCCCCACTCTCTGTCTGTCTGTCTGTCTGGGCGTGCGTTTTATTAGCTCCTTTCGTTGATATGCTCATGCCGTTGCTCGCTCGTTTGTCTTTCAACAAGAAGGGAGCACACACTGCCACATCAACATGCAGCACACAGAGGCAGCCATTGCCATCAGCACCACCCTAGAAGCATGGCCCAAGTTCCTCCTCCTACTGGCGGCGCCTCCCCAGACTACAGACTATGTGACGTGCATTTGTAATTCATACACTGCGAGAAAATTCAATAAAAATAACTTAAGAGAGGCATTTTTTAGGCTAGAATCGGGGGCAGAGGCAAGGGGATTTATCCATTTAGAAGTGCACTTTGCAATTTATTCTCATTACTGAACTCTGAAAATAATTGTCCGAATGCTGAAGTGGATAATCACTTGATACGTAAATCAATTAAAACCAGTTTTTTGCCCACTCTCATAGCTTTTAAAAAATTCTTTAGAAGGTCTCTTGTGCATTAGAATCTTAAATTATTCAAATACTTTACGATCTGATCATTACATTAGCCAGAATATTAGGGAGGTGCTCCTCGACCAAAATGTTTCCGAGTGGTTTATTCTTGATTTTTGTTATCTTTCTGTCCAGAAATTGGAACAAAAATAGCAACATCTATTACCAAATTCTTCGGTTTGAAGAAATATGTAATTCGGAAACTGAAACTGTATGAAGCGTCTTATATAAAAGGGTAGATACTCTATGGATAATAATTCTGAACCAGAAAAGTATAATAGCATCGTTTCTGACTGCCCAAGAGATCATATGTATTCATTCCCCGGAGTTAAAAGAGAGCTCTCTACAAATTCTTTCTGTGTAAAGGTTGCCATAGCCACTGCACATCCAGCATTGCGGAGCAGCTTTCATTGCCTGGCGCTGCATCCATACGTATCCGTATCCGTATCCATATCCACATCGACATTCATATCCATCTTGAGCTCATTCTCTGCCATTTTCAATCGTCCAGCTCCTGCTTCGATATGAAACCAAAGTGTTTGATTGCCAAGTGCTGCTCCTCCATTGTTCCATCCATCCCGTCCCCCAATGGACTCATATACATCGTATTTTCTTTTCATAGCCATTTTGCCTATTTATAGCTGAAGTATTTATTGTTGCTGTGCCACTCGTGGCATGCTCAAGTGGCCACTCATGGGGGCACTTTAATTGCCACACCATGCCACACCCCGGGGCAATGTCATGGCCAAAAAGAGGGGGAAAACGCAACTGGTTGTAACTTCAAACTTGATCTAAGCCAAACTTTCCATCCTCTTCATCTCGTTGCCCCTCCAATAGCCATCCACAACTGGCATGGCGATGTCCGCTTCGGCCTGTCTCTGGATGTGGGCGACTCCGTGGACATCGTGGAGGAGTGCACGCACTGGTATCGCGGCTCCTGCCCCCGCAAATCCCGTGCCGTTGGTCTCTTCCCCAAGACGTACATACACATCAAGGATCTGTCGAAGATCGATCCAGTGGTGGCCGAATGCACGCAGGTCCTACGCGAATGGTCCGAGATCTGGAAGCGTCTCTATGTGGTAAGTGTTGGCATATCGGTATCCCCAATTAGATACCAGAATTATTTGTATATCCTTTTGCTTGCAGGACCGCGAGGCGTACAAATTTCAGACCCTGCGCAAGGTAATGTTTTCCATATTGGAGAGTCGTCGGGAACTGTTGAGTGCCACCATGACCCAGGATCAGACACTGGAGCTGCAAATGGTGGTGGTTTCCAAAATCGACTGGGGAAATCGGTAAGTAACTCGAATTTGTAATACAATGAAGAGCTTCTTCTGAGGGGGGAAGTATCTATTATGTCGGAGGAAACAGAGATGTTCATTGTCAGGTGATCAAATTATGCGAATGACATTGATTTGCAGTACAAATGTAACCTAAGCGAAGGGGTACGGGATTTTTAACGATGAAATACTAGAATTGTTGCACATAAATTAGGGGAAACAGCTGATTTATTGGTTTAAAATATCAAAAATGTTTTCAATTTTTATAAATGCTGGAAATTTAAGAAATTTTATGAGACTACAGTGCAATTATTGCATGAAAACACAAAATCAGCTGCTTTTCTTTTCAACTGAATGGCAAATAACCAGTCACGCGTGAACGTGCAAACATGGAATGTGTTCTGCTAATGGAATCATCCTATTTGACCAGCATATCCCTGTGTATACTTGAAAACGTTCCAAAAACGTAATACAAATGTTGAGAAATGTATTTACGACGCAAATGTATATAGAAATACATAGATCGCATTACGGAATAGTTGATAACTCTTTCCACAACATCGTGCTCTCCCACACCATCTTTATATACGAGTATGTAAGAATTACGTAGGGTTTTTTGTCTGAAATTGTATATAGAATATTTATTACAACTTTGAACTTGGGATAGCGCTTGCTTGGGTTCTGTTTTGCTTTGTTTTTTTTTTTATGTAAAATGTGTTCTTTTCTAGCAATAATCACAATAATTTTGTTATAAACAAAATTCCTTAAAATTAACGATATATATTTGTAGACTAAATGTTAGGACAAAATAGCGAGAGCATTGCATATATGTATATACTCATATATCTCATATATATATATCAAATCATATATATCGTTCGATTACTACAATTTTGTATATAGAATAGATCAACGTTTCGTGAGCGTGCGTGAGCGATAAATGTAGCTGATTCTTCTGTTCTGTTCCTCTGTCTCCTGTCTTCTGTATGGAATCGATCTAATTGTTAAACTTAAATGTATATTTAAATGGCGCATCATTGTTAACGATGGGATCTCTTATACTCAATCGAATCTACCATCAAATTCCTTCGTTCTTCAACCTACAAATTGCACTCTTTCTCTCTATCTCTCTCTCTCTGTCTCTCTCTGTGTATCTATTAGCATGTATCTGATCTGATCTGTATCTGTACCTGTGTGTCTGCACCTGTCTCTTAAAAATGTATTTTCATTCAATTTTGCTATATATAAATTTCGCATAAATTATTATTTAATTGATTCATCCAAAAAGTAGCTCGAAACAGTCTTAGTTCTAGATATGGAAACACGACACCACACGACACACGACTCTCCCTTCCTCCTGTTCTGTCTCTTCTGCCTACAAATATTATTGAGAAATCATTGAAATCATTGTTCAGAAGCGTCACTCCGTTTGCTCGGGAGAGTCCTCCGTCTTATGTCTCCGTCTCCTTGCCGCCGGCAAAGTTCTGCACTGGCGGATAGATGGGATGGCTGATGGGGTTCATTTCCAGTGTCGATGGGGCCGATGGGGTGCGCGAAGTACCAAGACGACTGCACAACTGCTGCAGCATATCGTAATAGGATCGCGTGCTGAGATTCTGGCTGAGGAAGTGCAAGATCAAGAAGTCACCAATCTGTAAGGCAAACACAAAAGATGAGCACCTGAAGGACAGGGGAAATGGATGGATAGTGCGATTCCTACCTCCAAGCGCCGGACAAGACAAGCGATTTCCTTGCGCTGACCGGAGCGATACGAACGCTTGATGATCGTCTCTCGGGTGGTGGGCATCATGATCACCATCAATGAATAGAGCACAGCCACCCCCGAAATGGTGGCCAAAATAATGAACCAGAACCTGGAGCGAACCAACAAAACGAAACTTGTAGACAACTCAAACTCAAAAAAAAAGGGACGGGACCGTTCAATCCGTTCTACTTACCACAAAAATATGTAGATCTTCTCGTTGAGAATATTCAGGGCCAGTACACAGAGCGTGTCGTGCTTCTGTAGGGAACCGCTGGGACCAAATTTACGGAATGTGCACTTGGTGAGCCTCGGGAATATCTCAATCATCGGATCGAAGCGCTTGTCCTGATCCATGTTCGAGAACTTGACCACATCCGTGCCGTAGGACATGAAAGCACCGCCCAGAAATTTATCCACCATGAAAATGTTGACGATCACGTTCACAAAGTTCAGCAGCTCGCAGATGTAGTAGGCGAACGAGTAGCCATTGTGGGTGTTCAGACTGCTCTCAATGTACTTGAGGATGCGATCCTGCCGCTCCCGACGATAGTCGTCCGGGACACTGACCATTCCGCGCAAGCCATCGGTAATCATGCGGATCTTATTGTCCTCCATGTTCTTCCAAATCCAATGGGGAATATAGAACATGAGGCCCTTTAGGAGAAGAGATTTAGAGTTTAGGTTAGGTTTTCCTTGTGTGTTTCTTGGCCACTCACCTGAGCGAACAGCACGAATGGCACCCACTGGTAGTAGCTGTGATAGCGCTTCTCCTGGCCATATTCATTCCCCAATCCTGGGCCGGCGACGTCCGTGCCAATCTGCCTGTGCTGCTGTCCGGGTATCGTGAACGTATACGTGATCCAGCAGAATGTGTTGATCACGTGCATCGGTATGGAGCCATCGTTGATGCAGCTTATGGGATCGCCTGCAATCAGAGATAATTCCACAAGATATTTGTTTATATAAATATGACCTCGGCATAAATTCAATTCAAGTGGAAATCCACAACCGACGGGTGGCATGGGATTTGCTGCCTCGAATGTCGTTCGTCAACCGTCAAGTGCCATTAGTCTCTCCCGCTCCCGATCCCTCCCTCTCCATCCCCCTCCCTCTCGCTCGTCTGCTGCACAATTTGTTTATGGTGGGTGCGGTCGACAGACGTCGAGAAATCTGCCCCAACCACAACAAGGGAACCTCCTGCAACTGCTGTGGAAAACCTTTTTTGGGTGTGCCCCAACGTTAACCTCAACATTAACTTTGTCTCTGCCTTCAGTTTTTTGGGGCCAAACAGATAGAAACACGTACTCTGCCAGAGGAAGGAAAGTCAGTGTTTTCGTGGGTGCGGGGGGGAATGGGAATGGGAATTCCCAGAAACTAACCGTCAGTCAATATTTTACTGCGACTCTGCCACACAGAGTCTGGTCTGTGGCAGTACCACGCTTTTAGAGCACTTCTTTTAATGCACAAATATTTGCCTTGAAGCTTCGTTGTGCAAGCAGTGCCTTTGGGATTGGGTTTAATTTTGTTTGAAATGGTTACAAAAGCGATTTGGCAGAATAAATCATCAACCCACGAGTGTCTGTGCGTAGAATGGTGCTGGAAACAACAGAAAAGAACTCTAGAAAGGGCTAAGAAATACCAAATTAAACGTTTTTGTCGAGGCACCTGGGAAATGGTTCTTCCCATTCTGATCCGGATCGGACACGGATTCTTTAAGCAGTGGTTCTCTCGAAAGGCTGGCTCGTTCTGTCTCTTGAATGGTATTTCCCATAAAAATACTTCAACTGTTGGAGGGACTCTCCTGAGGCGTGGATTCATTGATTTTCACGCCCGTCCAGTCCGACCACCCGTTGTGGCGTCTCGGGGGAATGACTCATAAGTATAAATGGCTTTATGCTGAAATCCGATGAACGTGTTTCGCGGTCGCAAATTGTGAAAGCTGTGCACGAGTTTCGTTCTTTTGTATCGGATGTCAAAACCCAAACGTACCGAAACGATGTGGAGCACCAGATACGATATTTAGTGCTGCATTAGCAATAATGTTGCAATTGTTAGCGCAAACACTCGTAGAAGGGCTCCGCTTCCCCACATGTGATAATCAGTTGCATAGATGCACTAATTTTGGTTGGGTTGAGGTGCTAACTTACCGATGAGGTTGTTGGCCGTAACAATGATGCAACAGGTGAAGAGTATGGCTGTTGTGATCCTGTAGTGGCAGCGGAATACCATGTTATCGATGACCGCCTTGTCCAGCAGATAGCGTATCTTGATGAAGCCGGACACGGCCGAGACCATGCCAAAGACAGCCATGATTGTGGTCTTGTTGGTGGTGCGAGTGCTGCTGCAACAAAGCTAACTGCAACAGAAAGGAAAACGATCAGAGAATGATGAAATGTGCCCTGTCCCTGTATATGTTTGCCCGGAGCTCTCTCCCTCTCTCTCTCTCACTATCACTCTGGGCGCGTTATCTGGCACAGACATGACATATTCGAAATTAGTTTCAACAACCACATAGTTCCACTTCCTCCCGAGGGCTGGGCTCGTCGCTATGTGTGCGTTATCGTGGAACAAGCCGCACTTACAATTAAGTAAGTGGAATGTTGGATGTTGTGTGTTCTGTGTGCACCAACAACATCGCATCTCACGATGTGACTTCGAGTACGGGGCAGTGTCTTGTGTGTGGCTTGTGTTGTGCAATCCAATCTAATCTAATCTATTCGCTAAGCTCACTCTCTCTCCCCCTCTCAGTCTCTCGCATGTACAGCGGTTGAATAACCTTCCACCCCACCCCACAGCATGGCACGGACAATCCACGAATATTTCATCTCATTTCGGGAACTGTATTCTACAGAACCGGTATATGGTAGCTTTTTCTTCTTTATGTTTTTGTCAACCCACGCATAAATTTCACTTTGTCCAACACTTGAATCTCGAAACCCAAAAACTCAATTTGGTTTCTCGTTTTGTACGATCTTTGGTTTGTTTTGTACCCTTCGAGAGGGTATACTCGAATTAATAGTGGTGGGAAGGTATACACAGATTCGAAACTATCTTAGAGGTAGATCTGTTTTATAAGCAGGCAGATCCTTTGTTGGAATTGGCCGGATAGGAACCATATACCGCTCATACATATATATGACCATGCCTGAGGCCAAACTAAAAGCCTGTTCTGAAACTTCAAGGGTATCTAAACTTCGTCTCCTGTTTCATTCGGATGGGAATATGGATTGGATTGGATTGGATTGGATTGGGGTGTTCTGTTTCGATCAGGTTCTGGCATTGCTTTCTTCTCGGCTCTTTTGTTTATATGCAAATTTTTTATTTGTAGTTCGGTTTCGGCTGTGTGCGTGTGCGTCTGTGTGTGTGTGCGTGTGTGTTTTGGCTGTATTTCATTTCGGCACGACCATAACGTATAACTCTAAAAGATACACACACCGACAGGGACACACCATAGAGTTGTCTCTGTTGCACTCATGGGCATGGCAATTAAAGTCAAAAAGTATCTGTATCTGTGGCTACTCCTTTTTTGAATGCATCTGCACAGCAGCTTCTGCACTGTGGAACATTCAATCTTCCAGCCACACAGCGATACTTAGATGTATCTATGTGTCTCACACACACACACACACACACACACACACACACACATACGTAACACAGAGAGCACTTCATTTCAACTTCAATTCTTGCTGCTGCCTTCTCCGCTGCTTTCAATACATTTTTCAAAAAGAAAAAAAAAAAATGAAAAAAGAAACTGGTTTTAAGGTATTTTCTTTTTTGGAGAGCCAGAGAGGGAGAGATCTCTTGGTTTCGGAATGGAACGAAATGGATCGCGGAGATCGTATCGTATCGGATCTGTTGTGCCACTCTCTCTCTCTCTCTCTGTGGCAACAGCAACCTGCGGCAGGAGTGTGTGTTGGCCAGGCCGAAACGAAACGACGACTGGCGACCCCTTTCCGCACACTTAAGTGATTCTTTTGGCTCCTTTCTCGGTGCTCTCTCTGGAGTTCTCTCGGGTTCTGTATTCAAATTTATTGCTGCCACTTTGACACTTTGAAAACTCGTTTTTTTTTTTGACAAGCCGCCGCTCTCCTCCCCCCCGCGCCGCTCCGTTGCGGGCCATTAATTTTTGCTTGTTCTCGGGGTTTGCTTGCTTTTTATTTGTTGTTGTAATTTTCGTTGAAATCTTGTTTTTGCATTTGCACATTGTTGCAGTTTTTTTGTTTGTATTTTTTAAAGCTGTTTTTAGCTGCTGCATTGTTCAAGATTTCTATTATACAAACACACACACACACACGCACACACACAGGCCACACATAGATACACACACACCGATGCAGATACACACTAACACAGACAGTACATGCACTTTTTTGAAGCTCCTCCACAGCTGTGGGAACTGCATTCTGCGATTGTGTTTGTGTTGCATGCCACACACCACACTCTGCACTCTGTAGCTGCTGCTGCTCTTGAGCTATGCTTTCTGATGTTTCTGTTAAAGTTTCTGTTCAGTTTCATCGCCATACCCGTGTTTTCTCGAAAATTGTAATGCAGCTGCTCTCAGCGGCGTTCAAAAACCTACTGACTCAGACGGAGCCCAGTGCCAGTGCCAGTGGCCAGAGCCACGAATCACAGATACAGATACCAAGCCACCACAGAGCAGGCACGCTGCGCTCTCTTTCTGTTTCTCTCTCCCACCCTCTCTCTCTCTCTGAACCAGTGATCATGGCGATCGGTGGTGGTTCCAGTTCACAATCAGAGTTTACGCTCAAGCTGCATTTGCATTTCGGATTTGTTTTGTACCTACCATACGACATACGACCGCATACCGCATACCGTACCTCTCCTCGGTTTACCTGTCTGTCGGTCGGTCTGTCCTACCTTCTGCTACCACCTACGGGCTCTCGGCTTTACCCTGACATTAACTCAATCTAGAGCGGTGCTGGCTGCTTATCCGGCTTAGAGCACGCACTGTATCTGTATCTGTGTCTGCATCTGAATCTCAATCTGTATTTGTATCTATTGATTAGTTTGTCGCTTGCTGGAAGGTGGAGAATTTATGGCTTTATTAGAATGGTATTCTGTTCTATCGGCTTGATCGTAGCGTGGATGAAAGAACGAGACAAGGAATTAGGAAATTAAAGAATTCTGGAGCATAGCCCACGAAATTAAATAGAACTCAAGAGTTTATTTTTGTTTACATTATATTTTGTGTTTATATTTATAGTTTATGCAAAGAATAATATTTTATTTATGAATTCTAAACACCTAAGACCACCCAGGTCTAAATCTGTAAGAACTTGTCTAAAGAAACGAGCAAAGTGGTGAAATGGGATTAGTGAGGATTAGTGGATTTTAGTGAGTACTTGTGAGGGCTTATCTAATTCAGAGGTTCGGTCAAACAGCTGCATCTTATTCGTTTATCTACAGTTTATCCATACAAACGAAACCTTCAACGACGCCCAATTAATGTACCTATACAAAAACAAACAAAAAAACACACAAAAACGTAACGAATGCATTTATTTCGATTTTTTCCGGGCTTAAAAAGTTAAAATTTTAGCAAAAAATACCACATAAAATTCTCAATTTGGCATTTGAAAGCTTAATATTTTCCAGCTGAAGCGTACAGCTACAGAGTGTTTGGGTAGGATTTATAGCTGCATTTATCAGCTTTTCAGAATTGAAAATTTTAATACATAATACCTACCTAAGAAAAACCCAGTAGAAAAAATACCAGATTGATTTTTTTTAATAAACTAATCTTTGAAAATAAAAAAAATTATGAAACAATTTTAAAGCCCCAAATCCATAAAAAAAGTCGGTTGGGTTCAATTTTGTTGAGTAGTGTAATCATAAGAACATCTTAACATTGTAGAAACAATTGTTAAGATATTCTTTAGTTTTTATTGTGTTTAGGTACATACTATGTATAATTATTATATATCTCCCTATAAGTGAGGTATATGTAGTCCTATATTATATACATATATGTATACACTTTATACACTAGGGGGCAAGCAACCTACGCCTTCGCCTCGCCCAACCACTGTATAACTTATGCAAAAAAAAAAATAACCTCGAGGGACTGCGATTTATCAAGAAATTTCAGAAATTATTTGGCAGTCAGCTATTTATATGTTGTCCACTTATGCTTCGATTGAAATATCGGGCGAAGAAGATCAACAACTTTGTTATATAATACAAATATTATTACAATATTATAATGAAAACTAAATGCGAAAGTTAAAGATTTATTTTACCAAAACCTATAAAGGATTCTTTATTCTCAAATATCTTGAAACATTTTGAAGAGATTTAAGGGATCAATCAATGAAATATAAAATGGGAGTCGAAAGATTTTAATTTCCATACAAGTGTCGACTGCCTTCAATTCTTATAGAAACAATCCTTCGCACTATCCGTATTTTGAAACCCCTTCTTCCAGACTCATTATAAATGCCATATTCCAATTAAATCGAAAAAGAACTTAGGTTTGCTGTTCATTTAATTTATCTCCACTTGGACAGTCCCAACAGACGCCGCTCTGAAGTGTCCGCCAGAGCCAAGTGGATCTGCAAGGAGCTCCCTCGCTCCGTCCGTCGTCTTTGTATTCCAGGGTTAAATATGTCGCTGATCTGTGGAGCCATACAAACAGACGCCGCCTGCAGATCCTACCACTCGTGCACACACCACACATAGGCAGGGAGAGAGGGTCTGGGCGCTGCCCTCTCCACAACGAAGATCCATTTGCATGCTGAGAGCTAGACAAGCAACGCCGTCGCCCGAAACTTGTTGCCAGGCATTCCGCCACAAGAAGACCCCCACTTCAGCTACAGCTACAGCTTCAGCCACAGCCACAGCTCCGACTCGGGCTGCGACTCCTTTTGGCAGCAAGTTGCTGGTTGCACGATGACTCAGCTGCGGCAGCTTCTTCTTCGGGCTTTTTGCAATAATGAAATGGCATTTCGAGAAATGGCTGCTGGTGGTACGGCAATGGTGCTGCTGTTTCCATGTCCTAAGCTCCTCACCGCCTGGCACCGTGCACCCTGCACCCTGTACCCTACACCCTGCACCCTGCACCCTGCACCCTGCACCCTGCACTGTTTGTTTATTGTCTGTTAGTGCTGTTGCTTCTTCTCTCTTGTGGCCCTGTGGCATGCCCCTGCGGGGTTTTGCTGCCTGCCTGCCTGCCAGAAATGTATCTTTGTGCTGCACCTTTTATAAAGACATTAAATACGAAATATATGGCATGTGTGATTGTGATACGAGGCGAGAGGTGTATCTGTATCTCAGCTGCGCGACCCATAGATACAGCTCGAACGAACGTGTTTCTTCATCTGCTTTTTGTTTGTGGTTGACAGCTCTGCTTATCGAAGTGTAAATAATTAAATTTTTCTGTATCGTCTCCTTGTCTCCTTGGGTTCCGAGTCGTGCGAGTCGTGCGAGTCGCGAGTCTTGGTGTCTCTCTCTCTCTCTTTCTCTCGCAGTATTTCTCCTCCATCTTGTGGTGCGTGATATCTGTATCTTTAGTGCCCAGAACCGTGTTTCGTCATAGATTTTCGACACTCTTCGATGGGGATTTAACTAATTGCCAAATCCTAATCCATAAATCTGTATTTTGCTGTCTTTCTGGCGGGTTACCTTTCACCTGTTGAGCTTTCGGCTTTCGGGGGGCTCTTAATTAAAAACGACTTAAAGTGTTCATTACCACAATGGCTACCGTTCTCGCACGCTCTCCACTCATATTTGTATCCATGAGATACATTTTCAGGTCCGAGTGTTGCCTGTTTTTTTTTTTTTTTTTGGTCACGTCAATTCCACAGCTCCAGAGCCCCAAAAGGCGTAACAGAGGTGGCTCAAACGCACACACAGAAACTCACAAGAAACCTCAAGAGAGAAGAGAAAAATACCTCGAAACGATCTCTCTCTCGCTCTGAACTGGTTCCGGTTCCAAAATGGAGACTTGAGCTCTCTCGCTCTCGCTCTCAGCTGCTCTCCCATTATTTCACCTGAGCGAAGCCAGAGCGAAGCCGTTTAGGCCTCGTTAACAACAAAACGGCTTCTTCGTTGGCTTGTTCTGGCGGCTCTGGTCTCTGGCTCTGGTTTCTGACGATTCCAGAGGCTTGTAAAATACGCCTGCCATCTCCCTTGCACTCTACGCTCTGGCTCTGGCTCTGCCTTTGCCTCTCTCTCTCTCTCTCGCTCTGCCTGTCTTTCTTGGCCCTCTCGCTCTCTGCGTAAGCCAGGTAGAAGCCACAGCGTAGCCGAGGTAGCAACATCGTCAACGACGTCGCGACGTTGCTGCCAACAACATATTGCTGATGACGTTGGATTGCTGGGTTCGTTTCGGCTGCTGTGCCTGTAGACCTGGCTCCTAACTGCGGCTCCGTTTGCCCCTGGTCTCTGGTGCCTCTTTCTCGCATGCGCCACCGGAATGCCGTGAACCCATTAGCCGTGTGTCTGTGCCTCTCTCTCTCTCTCTCTTTCGTTCTCTGTGTGCCACACGGCCAGAAAATATGGCTGTAAGCAGCCGAAATTTATGCGTCATGCGGGCCAAAGCGATGAGAATCCATGATCCACAAGATCATGATCATCATGTAAATTTCACTCGGTAGCCGCTAAGAACAGCCCAAACAGAAACAGCAGGCCGTGGCATAGCCCACGTACTGGGTCATAGAAAATACATACACACTCGTCATACTCGTAGTGTGAACACCTTAATGAGCGATCGTATCCACCACTTAGATGCGATCTCTGTCGATAGAACTGGAACTGAATTGATATTGATTCGACAACAAGTTTGTTTCTTGGGAAAGTTGATTCCATTCTAGACTGGCTGTCATGACAGGTTCGACGTCGATTCTTCAGCGATTCTTTGGGGGTCACCATTCTGCCGTATCGTATGCATGAGTAGGCTTCGAATTAGTCAAGGCGTTGGACGGAATCGATCTCTGTTTCCATATATGATATGTGGGGATATGTGGAAATTGATATCACGATCGTGCGCCTTTGTGGGGGGGCTCTACCATTGAGAGGTAATGTTTCTAGGGCATAGATTGAAACCTTTCGGAAGAAAGCACACGTATGTCCTATGAAGCAACAAAGCATTGCTTGGGAGCTATCATCAATACGAAAAACAGAAATAAACCCGAGACCCAAATCGATCAAAGTTCCTCCTTAAGCGCCCGACGTTTATTTTGTTTTTTCCGTCGTGGGACTAAGCCTCGTCTCGAGTCAATCTTCAATGTGCCTCGTCAGACACACGACATGTATTTTGCTGTTCAATGTTTTTTTTGGCACAGTAAAGACACAAAAAGTAGTGCTTGAAACATTTTTGAACTTAAGCGACGAGGGGGATCTGCAGGAACTGCTGAAGTTTCTCGATGAAAAATGGAATATGGGAATAGTTGGGAGCCAAGACAGCTTGTGGACCTTTCCAAGCGATAGATTGAAAAGTTTCTAAATTAAAAGTGAAACTTTGAACATCAAGAGCGAAGCTTGTTACCGAGGTGTGCTGCTGCATGACGCGCGACTTGTGTTACCGTATCGGTAGCGTGGATCGAAGAAAGGATAGAGATTAGACTACTCAACGGTGATCTGTTATAGGATAAACATTTCTTTTCAGCGAATAGCTGTCTTTTCCATCCATCTTTTGACTGCAATCCTTCCATTATTAAGGAGTTTCTTCCGATTCAAGCAGCCGTCGTCCAAGGAGCTTCCAATTTTCTTATAAATAAACTTCTCCATGGTTCATCTTCTACCCTATCTTGCCCTATCTTGCTTCATCTTCGTTTCGTTCTATTTATGGGAATATACGGCCCACGTGTGATCTGTGATTAATGATCATCGTTCATGATGACTGACCAAATTTGTATTTAATTCTTGGCGCTCCGCACGACTCCACTCCAGCAGTCAAGCGACAATTAATTACGAAAAGCTCCAAATGGTTTTCCCCCATTAATTTATAGAGATATTCCCTGCCTCAGAGAGGGGGAAACTTTCCTGTTCGGAACGTGACAAAGTGTAAAAGTTGTTTTAGCTGCCTCGCGCCCCTCCACAGACATAACTCAACCAAGAAATACTTTTGTGATATTTGCAGGAAACTGGGACTGGATCTGGTGCCGCGCGAGGGTCCCCTGGCCGTGGATCCGCATGGCATTGGGATCGTCAAGCTGTACAATGTCCACGTGAGCAGTGCGGACAATGCCAAGGCCTCGTCGGTGAGGAGTCTCTCTTGATTGATTGATAAGCCCCTGTGTGACCACTCACTCATCTAATCCTTTGCAGAGTCGCGGCACCTTGAGGCGAAAGACCCCACGGAAGATACTCACCCATCATTTGTACTTTTGCATGCGAGACTTTGGCCATCGCATCGGCGGCGATGATGCGGAGGTCTACTTCTTCCTCTACGACGGTAGCCGCATGCGGCCGCTGTCCGAACGATTTCTGGTCAAGATCTCCAGAGATGGTTTCTCCAATTACATCGAAAAGTTGCACAGCAATTGCACGGTCTTTACGGATTTGGGTAAGAGGAAACGGGGAAGAGGGGAAAGAGAGAGAGGAATGACCCCTAATGATCTGTCTCTCTCGCTTTGAAGGTGCCGCCGATCTCAATGAGGATCTCCATTTGGTGGCCGTTGTGATGCGGGTGGGAAAGATCATTCAGTCGGACTCCATCAAGAAGATCGAGAAGAGTGGCAGCCACGGCACTGGGCCCACCTATCGTCGACCCTTTGGCGTGGGCGTCCTCTCCCTGGCGGACATTGCGCACTTTGACAGCAGTCTGGAGCAGGCCTCCCCCGCCTCCGAGGAGCGGGAGTACAACTTCAAGCTGTACCAGAGCGAGGAGAAGGACTTCCATCTGCTGCCAGAGCTGATGATCAAGAAGTCCAGTGGCAAGTACTCCCCCATCCAGACGGGCAATCAGAGTACCCAGGGCATTGTGGTGTCCTTGAAGCTGTTGCACGGCGGACTGGGGCAGGCGCGCCAGGAGCAGCCGCTGCTCTTCCAGGGCTCTACTATCACACGGAAGATGGGATTCCCCGATGTCATTATGCCGGGCGATGTGCGCAACGATCTGTTCCTCTCGTTGGAGCGTGGGGAATTCGAGCGCGGCGGCAAGAACACGGGCAAGAACATCCTCGTGACGGTTGTGGTGCTGGATGTGGCGGGCAATGTGCTCACCGACTGCCTGTGGGGTGCCTCGGGGATGGACGCCCAGCCGCAGTACCGCTCGATGATTCTGTACCATCAGAATGCCCCCAGTTGGAACGAAATGCTGCGCCTGAGTGTGCCCATCGATAAGTTTGCCACCGCCCATGTGCGGTTCGAGTTCAGGCACTGCTCGACGCGGGACAAGACGGAGCCGAAGCTGTTTGCCTTCAGCTTTGCGCGGCTAATGGAGACGGGTGGCGCCACCCTGGGCGATGGCCAGCACGAGTTGTATGTGTACAAGTGCGAGGATCCCGCCAAGCTACAGGCCTCCAACTACCTGCGACTCCAGTGCCGCCCCAGAGACGCGCAGGCCAAGATGGACTGCGGGGGATGCTTCAGTCGCAGCTCCAAGGAAGTCTTTGTCCTGCGCTCGCTGCTCTGCTCCACGAAGCTAACACAGAACGCGGATCTGCTCTCGCTGCTTCAGTGGCGTGCGCATCCCGACACTATACAGGACTCGCTGACGGGAGTGCTGCGCCTGAACGACGAGGAGCTCGTGAAGTTCCTGCAGGACGTGCTCGACGCCCTGTTCGCCATGTTCTCCAACGAGGAGGGCAACAGCACCCAGCACTCGGGTCTGGTTTTCCACGTCCTCGTGAGCATCTTCAGTCTGCTGCAGAGCAACAAGTTCCAGCACTTTCGGCCCGTGATGAACGAGTACATCGAGAATCACTTTGCGGCCGCTCTCGTCTACAAGGGCCTCATCACGTCCGTGGAGCACATGGCCGTCTTTATGACCAAGGCAGAGCATCCGGACCCGTTCCAGAAGTGCTTCGGCTCGTTGGAGTACATCTTCAAGCTGCTGATCCAATCACGGCGTCTTTTCGCGCGCGCCACCGGCGGCCAGTACGAGGACTCGTTCCGCCGGGACCTCCATTCGCTGTTCACGGCCCTCAATGGGATGCTGGCGGTGCCCTCGTACGATGTCATCATACCCACACAAGAGGCGCTGCTTAACTCGACGGGCGTGGTCCTGGAACAGCTGAAGGACACGCTGCCAGCCCCAGAGCTGGGCATGCTGGCGCGGAATATGCTGGACGCGATACCGCGTGGTGCTCCAATACGTTTGATTCAGGCCAAGCTGCATGCGGTCAAGGATCTGGTGTCCGGCGAGCTTTTTCACGAAGATGGTAATCCTGGAAAACCTGAACCTATCGCAGTATATTTAATATCAAATTTGTATCATTGTTTAGATTCCCGCACTGTGGTGCTGTCGGTGGCCTGCAAGCACCTGCGCATGCATCTCAGTCGTCGCGATGAGCTGCGCCTGTGCGCCGAAATTCTCTCGGAGATTCTCAGCCAGCTGTTCGACCTGCAGCGCGAGCAGCGAGAGAAGGTCACCAACACACTGCAGCACGATCTGGACTCGCTGTGCAAGAACATACTCGGCATACTGATACGCACCATCAGCATCATTATGGAGGGCTCCAATGCGGTGCTGCCGCAGCTGGTGTCCTGCCTGCTGGGGCTGCTGCAGCTGCTCGATGAGACGCACTACAAACGCTACTGGGACGAGCTCAGTCCCAACCACAAGGACCCGCGCGACCTCAAGGAGTTCCTCAGCAAGTCCCTGCTGGTGTACGAGGAGCTGCTTACCCAGGACTGGCACGTCTTCCCCAACGATTGGCTCGTGATGAAGCTGGCCGCCAACGATGTGCTACGCATGTCGCTCGAGGAGTTTGCCAAACCTCTGGTCTATCGCTTCCTCGGTGCCCAGGCCTTCGATTCGCAGCTGTGGTGGAGCTACTTCAGTCTCGCGGTCTCCTTCCTCACGCAACCGTCGCTGCAGCTGGAGCAGTACCGAGAGCCCAAGAGGCTCAAGATCCTCCACTCGCATGGGGATATGCGCGTCCTAATGGGCTTCCAGATCCTGAGCATGTGGTCGCAGTTGGGCGAACAGAAGCTCCACTTCATACCCTCGATGGTGGGGCCCTTTCTGGAGGTCACACTAGTGCCAGAGCCGGCACTGAGAAAGGCAACCCTTTCGGTCTTTTACGACATGATGCAGTGCGAACAGGTGAGGGAGGAATAGAGTAAGTCCCTATTCAAAGAACGATTCTAACCATCTGTTCCCAAGCAGGCGGCGCGCGGCTCCTTCCGCCTGGTGGAGAGCGAACTCATCGACAAATTGGATCTGTTGATCAGCGAGAACAAAGGCGACGACGAGTACAGGGAGCTCTTCAGTACCATGTAAGTTGTGGCACAGATTCCTCCTGGAATGTACATACATAAATGTCAATGTAAATGTCTGTAAATATATATATAATTCACTTCACACTCGCATTGCAATCCGCCATCCATGACAAAAAAAGGGAACATCTCAGCTTGGTGTAAGTTTAAACCGCAAACCACCCTTTACGCCTATCTCTTTCTGTGATATTCTCTAGATGTTCCGATTCTAAAACTAATCTAAAACTAAAACTAATCCCTTGTTTAATCCCTTGCCAGCTTGCTGGAGAAAGTCCAAGTGGAGAATCCAAACTGGAAGGATGCCGGCATTGCGTTTATTGGCTCCGTCACACGACTCCTGGAGCGACTGCTCGACTATCGCAGTGTGATGCAGGGCGAGGAGAATCGCGACAAGCGCATGACCTGCACTGTGAACCTCTTGAACTTTTACAAAAACGAAATCAATCGCAAAGAGATGTATCTGAGGTGGGGATACCGATACCGATGCCAGTATTTTCTAATTTTTCCAGCTAAACTCTTGCTAACTATTGCATAATGTCCTTTCAGATACATTTACAAGCTGCACAACCTGCACTTGCAGGCAGAGAACTACACGGAGGCTGGCTTCACCCTCAAGTTGTATGCTTCCATGTTGTCTTGGGATCGGGAGACCCAGAGCTTTGCCCCCTTCGACAATAGCGGCCAACCGGAGTGGCAGCGAAAAGAGCGACTATACCATGAGGTACATATACCATAACATATAGCATAGCATTTCAAAGCCTTCCCGCAAAGTCAAAAATTAGCTACGATGCAATTCGGGTCCAGATATTTCTCGTTTATACACCGACGTCGGCTCTCATTATTTAGCTACAAGAATAACGGACAGTAAATTAAAGACATCGATTAAAAACTAAACTGAGAATAATCCTAATGATTCAGCATATAAGAACCTCTTGTATGCCATATATGTACATATGTTTATAGAACAACTCTCATGCATTGCAGATCCTCAAATATTTCGACAAGGGCAAATGCTGGGAGAAGGGCATTCCGCTGTGCAAAGAGCTGGCGCAGCTCTACGAAACGCGCCGCTTTGACTACAACAAACTGAGCGAAATACTCATTCAGGAGGCCAAGTTCTTTCAGAATATCTTAACGCAGCTTCGACCCGAGCCGGAATACTTTCGAGTGGGTTTCTATGGCATGGGTCTGCCGCTGTTTGTGAGGGTAAGTCGTTAATTCAAGATCTCTTGAAGATTTATCACTCATTCGCTTGTGCTTTTTACAGAACAAACAGTTTGTGTATCGCGGCCTCGAGTACGAGCGTATCGGTGCCTTTACGCAGCGCCTGCAAACGGAGTTTCCCAGTGCCCAGATTCTGGGTAACAATAGTCCACCCGATGGCGCCATTCTGAATGCACCCGATCAGTATATACAGATCAGTAATGTCCGGCCCATGGGCGATGCTCAGGCCTTGAAGACGGCCATGGTGCCGGTACCGGAGAAAATAGCCCGTTTCTACGAGGTGAATGATGTGACAAGATTCATCTACGACCGACCCATGTACAAGGGACCCATTGACAAGGACAACGAGTTCAAGTCGCTGTGGATAGAGCGCACGATCCTGGATATAGCCAGTCCGCTTCCGGGGATTTTGCGCTGGTTCGAGGTCAAGCAGAAGTCGGTGCTGGAGCTGACGCCCGTGGAATATGCCTGTGAGATCATCAGTAATGCGGGAAAGGAGCTGTCCGAGCTGATTGTCCAGTACAGACGCGATCCCAAGCGGAATATCAATCCGTTTTCGATGCGCCTGCAGGGTACCATCGATGCCAATGTTATGGGCGGCATCAGCAAGTACCAGGAGGCCTTTTTCTCGGATCAGTTCCTCAAGTCGCCCCAGGGCGCCGGCCAGCAGGCGAATGTGCAGCGCCTGAAGGCTCTGATACTCGAACAAATACAAATTCTGGAGCAGGCCCTGGAGCTGCATGGACAGTTGGCTCCCAGCGGCGTTCAGCCGCTGCACAATCGCCTCCTGGAGAGATTCTCACAGCTGAAGCAGAGTCTTTCGGGCATGGGTCGCCTCAAGCGTCAGCATTCGGACAGCATCGTGAACACGCCGCTGCCGCCGCTACCCACGGAGCAGCGCACGGCGCAGGCTGCAGCGTCTTCCTCCTCCTCCAGCCAGAATGCCAATCCCAATGCCAACTATGTATACGAACTGGATGAGATCTACACGAGACCAGGCGACACTGTGCGGCCCGTCGATCCCCTGAATTCGTATCAGACGCTGAGCAAGGAGAGCCTCACCATACCGCTGGACGAGAGTGTTGCGGCACCTCCAGTGCCCAATCGGCCGCGATCCCAGAACTTTGTAGTCAACGGAGGAGGAGGAGCCATGATGGACAGTCCAGAGGTGCCGCCCAAGCGGCAGCCGGCAGTCAACTCCCCAAACGCTCCGCCGCTGCCGCCCCGCGGAATTACGCCGGACAAGCGAGCATCGAATCCCATGATTTTCAACGATTTTGGAGGCGGCGATGGCGTCGGCCGTCGTCACTCATCCCAGCAGCAGCAACATGGCCAGAAGTACGCCGTGGTAGACATCAGCTTCGACGATCCCGAGGCGGATCAGCAGCCGCACTCGTTGCCGCCCAACTTCCAGGATGGCGGCGGTGGACATCTGAATGTCTGCTTTGTCCCAAACGATTTCCGCGACTCGGGCATCTCGACGACCAGCTCGCGGGAGCTGAACAACATGAATCTCAATAATCTCAGCGAGGACTCGTCTTCGATTTCGGCGGCCAGTACGGTGCATCATCGCGAGCACTGCCGCATCAGCTCCAACGGAAGCCTGGACATGCATGCCACGGTCCCCTCGATGAATATCACACAACGGGAGAGCTCGACGAGTTCGTTTGACGTTGAGGATATGCCGGTGCCACCGCCGCCCATTCCGCCTAAATCGTTGGGGGTCTCCAGCAATGGAGTGCTGGCCAGCGAAGAGGCACTGGTACTGGCACTGGCACACTCATCCAATCCCAACACACAAGCTTACACACAACTCAATCACAGTCAGAATCAGAATCATTCCATCAACAATCATCATTATCATCATCAAACGCTGGGGCAGCAGCTGCAGCAGAATGGCGATGACGAGGGCGATGGCTATAGCTCATTGCAACACCAGCCGATCAACGGAGTGGCAGTGGCTCCAGCCCTAGCCTCAGCACCATTGCCGTCTGCTGTCGAGGCCGCCGTTACATCAACAGGCACAGGCACAAGCGCCAGCACAATCACAGCCCCACCGGCATCCGCATTGACATCCTCATTGGCATCTAGTCACCAGCACGATGGCGGCACTTTTTGAGTTACAATATGTCGCTGCCATCATCCACCCGATCAGCCACATCAGCCACATAAGCCATCCTCTTCCACATCAACTTCAACCAGTACCACCACTGACACGGCCACCGAGACCTCGGACTCTAGCTCAACCCACTCGATGACGCCGCCGCCGCCTCCACCGCCGCCGCCTTCGTTCAACCAGTTCCATCAACATCCAGCAGCCGCAGTCATAGTCCTACCCGATTCGCCTGCACCAGCAGAAGCGGCACACTACTGTCAGGACTGTTTGTCGTCGCCATCGCCGCCACCTACAATCATCACGGAGCAGGCTCTAGTGCATGCCACCCCAGGACAGGCGACGCCTCAGCCCCACATCGAGCATTGCTCGTGTGGCCTGAGCTTCTCGGTGGTGCAGAATCAGCAGGAAATGATGTTATCTTCGAGGTTCTCCACGCTAGAGCGGCAGACCCTCGCCTATCAGGTGGATCAGGCTTCGGGCTGCCAGCATCATCACCATCTGCACCAGCATCATCATCAGCCCCAGAGCAGTCAGGATGCACAGGCCCAGACGGACTTCTCCTACGCACAGCGCTAAGAGAGAGTCAATGGGGACCCACAGAGAGTGAGATTGAATTTCGTTAAGTTATATCGTGTGTATCGTCGTTTATTTATTATATTTTATTGTGTTTAGCATAAATACTTTTAAGTTATTGTAATTCTTTTTGGTGCCAAATGTTTGCTGCAAGTCCAAAGCGCAACTGAAACGAATGTTGTAATGGAATAGGTTGCTTAACAATGTGTTTTCATGTTTAGTTTAAGTATTATTTGTACTATTTTTATCGTATCGGCAATATTTATACAGGAATTGTCTCTAAAGTTACTACTACTACGCAGAGTGTGCATAAATATGATAAGAGAATAAAGATGAACAAAGTTTTATATCGAACGAATCAAATACTAAAACCAAAACACTGAATGCTAATCAAAAATCAGCAACGCAACGGAAATATACATATATACATTACATATAGGAAAGCTAAGGAAGTGACAAAAGCAAGAAAAGACCGACAAAATGTGCAATGCAGTTTTTACTTTAACGAATTACATATTTATATAGAAATATACTACCGCACACTACACACTACGATACATGCGAACAAGCAATTAGGAATTTTAAAGTGCTACTAGCTTCGGATAAGTTTTCCATTTTTGTAAATTTTTTATATATACATACTATATATGTATAAAGTCTTCATATACTATGAGTGTGTATCCGCATCTAATTATAGAACGCGCATAAATCAAAAGCGTAAAAATCGTATCTAAACCAATCATATTTATAAAATAAAACTAGTCAGAAACTTGCATGTTACTGGGGAAGTGAGTATAGAAGAGGGATAAAGGTTCATATTGTCTATAAAAGGCATGCCGCGAATGTAAGAATTTACTAAAGAATTTAATAAACATTAATTTATAAAAGTATTCAAGTGTTTCTTCGATTTCTTACCACGATTCAAAAACGTCAACTAGCGCCATCTAGCGGAAATGTAATAACCATGCTTCAAGGGACGCAGCGCCACCTGCAGTAAATTGTGTGTATCTACATTTTTAAATTGAAATTCAAACTCGGATTTGTTTTTTCATCGTTTATTATTTTCACTTGTTAACCTTCTCTTCTCAGAAAATCATTTGACAATATTTTTATAATTGTTACTTAAAACTAGTAGCAACTTTTGTAACTTAAAAGCATTGAGTTTGCCTATTAATTATTAATTATTGCTTTGTTGAATTAGTTTGGTTTGTTAGCTTACGTTTCATTTGTTAGATTTGCTCGGTTCTCTCTCTCTCTCATTGGAGGGTGGTGTAAATTATTGACACTACTAAAACATGTTACTCATAATTGTTCGCTTTGCTTCGCATTTTGGATTAAAAGTAGACCGACTTTTTTGAATGGTTTGCTATCGTATCTAGTATGTTTTTTTGTTTAATTTTTTGTTTGTTTGTTTGGTTGGTTGTTTGGTTGGTTGTAAGAATACCTTCCCTAATTCACGCCTAAGGTTCTAGGGTAATAAATATTGCAATTTTACTAATTCATATTAAATATATTAAGTATATTCGGGGAGCTCAGTAAATACTTGAGGTTAATATTGCGCAATCAATTGACATAAATGATATCAACTCAATATCGTATTAAGTTTAAGTACTCTTACTTTATGTTTAGCATTCACTACGTATGTATGTACGTGATTCGTTGCAGCAGCGATTTAGCCAGAAGATTGTTTGTTTTCATTGTTTCACTTTCACGCTTGTCCAACATGGAATACTCGACATCTGACTCCTCGATATCTCGACTCCTGGAATCCTCTTCATCTAATTACTCATAGGTACTGGCACACAACAGCAACAACTTTGTCGTGGTTCCAGTTCTGTTTTGTTTTGTTTGGTTCCATTTCACAACTATGCACAGATTGGAGCATTAATTAATAGAGAGTCCTTATAGAGACTACCACTACTACCACGTTACGTTTGCCAAAAATTAACAATTTGCATATCTAAAAAGATCAACTAGGAAGAAGGTTAGCTTATAGGTGTGTGTCCTTATTGTAAGAATTCTCGACGAGGTACAAAGTTATACATACAATATTTGAAAATTAGATGTTTTTGTCGTAAGCACAATGAGGTACACATGTATCAACATCATTCAAATCATTATTACTCATACAATATATTACTACCCATCATCATCCGTCGACGATCGGCTTATCTCACGAAACTTTCGCACATTCGAGTTCTTTTCAATCAGCTTCTCATTTCCTTTCATTTCAGTAATTTATATAACCTTAATGCTTAATACCACAGTCGAAGTATGTACTATATGTACTATACAGTTCATATATATATATGTATATGTATATGTATGGCCTATAACTAGATATACATATGTATATTGTTACTGCAACATTATACACGGTATATACTCAAGTAGCGCTTTTGTCTTATGTTATGTCTTTATGTCCTATGTACGAGTATGCGTCATCTATCTAGTGAGCGGTTTCACCCGGCTCCGATCGGTGCCCGTCTCCTCCTCCAGGCCAGGGCCATCACGGCGTGAATCGCATGGGATCGCCTGGACCGCGGCCTGGCCAACAGCATCCATGGCAACGGCAGCAGCAGCAGCAGTAGCAGCAGCAGCCAGTAAACGGGTCATAGTTCCCCATGGGCGATCGCCTGCTCGGTGACATTGGCAAAGCTATTGCATGTCTGCGTGGACATCCACTCAAAGTCCTTGATGGTGGCCTGCAGAAAAGATTACAATTAGCACGGGGACTTGGACTCCAGTTGAACGCTTCACCTTATGCATGGAGTAGACAGCCACCACGACCAGCACGTGCATGATGTTGTGTGAATTCAGATAGAAGTCGACCACGCCGGGGAACCACTTCTCCGGTATACGCATGGCGCCAATGGCCCCGCCCAGAATGGAGACACCGTCCTGGAAGCAACACACACAAGTGGGGAAAAACGCGATTAGCGAAAGCGGCACTGATGGGGGGCTCTGTGTCTGTACTATACTGGTGTCTGCCGGTCAATGTGGGTTGCGGCATTGTCCATTTACTCGAATGTACGTTCATATGTATATGTATGAAAATGTGGCACTTACAACTTCAACCTATGCGCACAGAGAGAGGCCAGCCAAAAACGGGTAGTTATAGAAAATAGCATGTTAGTGAATTGGAAAGCCTCGACATACGCACCTGCAGATAGACATGGGAGAGGGCCATGTGACTGCCGCCGACCATTCCCCGGATCCGCAGAAAGGTCAGAATGGAGCGCATGCCAAAGGGCAGAGCAAAACAGAGGCGACGCTGCCAGGGCGAACTGGCGGTCAGAGCCTGAGGAGGAACACATATTAGTATAGTACATTAGTTAGTTCTTGAGCAGGAACTGAGCAGATCTTCTTACCTTGTAGAGGCCCCACAGCGAGAGCAGGCAATAGGAGCTGATGATTAGCCACTTGAGGACGGGCGTGAAGCACAGCGTTGTGGCCGTCACCAGGGGCAAGGCACCTGCAATGAGACAGCGGAAGAGAGATAGTGTGATGAGAGAGGGAGAGGCCACCTACCGATAAGACCCCGCCGATTCCCAGCCAAAATGTTCAGATCAGTCGAGAAACAACCGAAGATGATGGCCATTGCTCAAGCTCTCGCCCGCCTAATCTATATCTGGGTGTCTGGAGGTACTACGAGTGGGCAGTCTCTGCCGATTACACTCACCGAAGCTCTGGCTCACCCAGATCCCGACCATGTCCAGCTTGAGCAGTGTATAGTACACATTCTCGCCCTTCTCGATGTTCATGAACAGATGGTAGACGAAGCTGCCGCACCAGGGTGCCACCGATCCGAAGACGTGGCAGAACGACAGAAACTTGTAGCCACTGTCCCAGGGCATCAGACCGGGCACAATGGCCAGTATATAGATGATGGGTATGGCTGCAAGAAAAAAAGAGATTTCCAAGTTACAAAATATGGAACAAATAGTGTGAAGGCGCCCTCGTAATATGAATACTCCATATAGTTCATACATTTAGCAATAAGTTTATTTTTAGTCGTTACATTTACGGATAACAGGCGAGTTTTTCTATTTAAGCCAAATCAGAAGCGTAGGGCACGTTCTGTAGATTTCCAATGGCGCCGACCGATAGCTTCGAGTCGGCCACCTTCTTGGCAGCCACCTGGACCTGCTTCTGGGTAATGCCATCAATGGCGGAAAGCAAAGTGTCAGCCTCCAAGACGTTTCTGCTGAGCGCCGCTTGGCGCCCGATCTCCTTGATCAGACCACCATCGGAGGAATACTTCGAGATGATGCGGGCCTTCAGCATGGCCTTGCCGCGAGCCACATCTTTTTCCGAAACCAAAGCAGACTTCAAACCGCGAGCCAGGAACTCGACGGTCTTGCCAATTTCCTTGGCCTCGCCGGACACCACGAAGCCAAAGAGTCCGGAATCCGAATAGGTTCTATTCAGAGCCCTAACAGAGCTGGGGCTCGAGCCGCCAGCACAGTTGACAGCCTCGCCGAACAGTCCCGCAGAGTTTCCGCGCTTGGTGGCCGCACCAGCGCCCACAGCCTGCTCCAGCACGGCAAAGGCAAGGGCCTCCTTGAGGTTGGCAATGGAGCCGCCAAGACCAGCAACGGCGACAGTGGCACGTTGTCCGTTGGTCTCCTTGCGGGCATCGCCCCCAAAATATTTGGCGGATGCAGTCTTCCCACCGCCGCTCGGGAACTCCAGGTTCTGGGCGAAGCCCGACAGAGTGCTGCTGTCAATACCAACGCCAACAACGGCAGCCCGACTGGCCGAAAAGGTGTTGGCCACGTAGTGCAGCAGGCTTTCGGAGGAAAGATTGTCCAGCTGGAAAGTGGGGATGTAGATGGAGTTGCCCAGGCCGGTACGGAAGGCAGCCTTGTGGACCAGCTCGATGGCGCGTTGCTCTTGGGTGACAGCATACAGTTGGTTGTGCAGAGTCTTGGCATTATCCTTAATCTCCCATGGCTTGAAGGCTGGCTGCAGCAGGTCCTTCAGGTAGCGCAGACCGGTGTCCACATTGTTGGCCGTGGTCTCCACGGTGTAGCCGACAAATTCACGGTCGTTCCAGGCGGTCAATGTGCCGCCGACCTGCTGAATGTTGCGGGCAATGGCGAAAGCAGACGAGTTCTGGGTGCTCAGTCCTCCGGCCAAGCGGAGCAGATGGGAAGCTCCCAGGGTATCGTAGGTCTCGTGACGGGACCCAGCTCCTAGCACGACGGACACGCGCGAGACGGGCACGGTGGCATCCGCTGTGGCCACAACCAATTTGTTCTCCAAAACTTTCACACTCACGGCGGAGATGTCCCCCACGGGGCGTGGGCAGGAGGCATAGCCCCGCTTAGCGATAGCTCGCAAGAGATGCATCTTATTTACGATGTAGGCCATTGCGTTTATTTTATTATTAGCTTTTTGTTTGATTTTAAAGTAGTTTTCGTTATAAATATTCGCCTGCAAAGATGGAGAATGAATTTTTAGCTGCGTAATATTTTTCACCTATCTGGTAACTTTTCTTCATATTTTTCGGTCAGTCTGGAGCCCTCTAATTTGAAAAAAATCAGTTATTCCTGTGATGTGGCAAGGCCACGTAAAAAAGGATTAAGAAATTCAGCAAAACATATTATCTGACAAAATCATTAACATAAAGGGGGATTGAAATGATAGCCGCAGTCCCTCCGAAATGATGGCAGGCCGAGGGTCGTGCCCCCGTCATATTACATACATATATAATGAAGACTTAATCCTGGAGGATGCAAATATTTAGCATACAATTAATAAATGTTCTCTATTTCATATAGTTATTAAAAAGTTGCTTGTTCTTGTTTATAAAAATATATTTCATTCGAGAATATATTCCCTTCGAAGGGCTCTCAACTAATCCAAGGAGATGCCGTACAGCTGGCACTTCTGGGAGGAGGTCATCGGACTGCCACTGCTGCAGCCAAAGTCCCGCCGAAAGGCTCCAAGGTTGGAGAGTGCCCCCAGCACCCTCAGGGCATTGGGTGTATACGAAACGAGTAGGGATACCCTGTCGCGGAACCGCTCATTGGCATCGTTGCACCAGAACTGTGCGTAGCTGATGAAGAACAGCTGCCTCGGACTCTGGGTCATCTGTGGCAGCCGCTCCGAGGACAGGGCGGACGGGGCCAGCTCAGCCAGGTACTTTGAGTAGGCGTGGTAGGAAACCTGCACAGCCAGATTGTCGGCTATGTTCTCCGCCTGCAGATCGCTTTTCGGCAAATACTCTCCATTGAGCCGGAGGCGTCCGTACTGTTCCTTGAAGCAGGCCCATCGCTTGTAGTATTCTTTTATCGACGTGGCATCCCAGTGGGAGACATCCTCGATGCTGTGGGCCAACTCGTGGGCGAGCAGAGTGCCCAAGCTCCCGTAGCGCAGGGCACGTGGGTAGTAGCGGGACCACAGGTAGTTCGGCTGCAGCAGGGCCACTGGCAACAGGACACGCTTCTCCACGGGATCATAGCTGGCCGCTGTCAATGGAGCCGCACACAATTTGGTCTTCAGACTGTCGTGACTGAGCACGGCCCGCAGGTTCTGCAGATAGTCGCGGGGCTTTAGCTCCAATCGTTCATAGGTCTGTGTGAAATTCACATCTCCATGCCCGTTTATCAGCAGGCGAGTGGCATTGATCTGTTCCAGCAACTGGGTGCGTGTGGCCAAGGCCAACCAGTCGGCGGTGTCGTTCTCCAGTAGGTCACGGAAGCTGCGCTTGATCTGCTGCCAGACGGCCTCTATGTCGCTAAGAGTGGCTGCATCGCCGTACTCCCCCAGGACCATGTTGTCGAGCAGCTCGGGGAACAGGCTCCTCGTCTTGGACATGCAGTGCTCCACCACGGAGCCACTCCACTCGTAGTAAAAGTGCTGCAGCAGCTCGAGGAAGATATAGTTGGCCTGCTCCCGGGGCGTAGTGTTACTCAGAAAGCCCAGCAGATGCGCCTGATAGCTGGGCACATGCTCGTACAGAGTATCGTTGGGGTTCAATGGCCGCTCGAGGACAAGCTCAATGTACTGGGTGAGATTGAAGGCCTCAGAGTAGGGGGCATCCAACTCCTCGGGGGTGCGTGGACGCGCCAGCACACCCACTGGAAGATCCCTCATATGCTGGGCCACCAAATCTTCCATTCTCGTGATTTCCAGCGAAGTGTTCCGTGCCAATTCCGTTTCCACGCCCAAATGCCGCTCCAGCTGGTCCGCTATGGTGGCAGCTCTTGCCTGCCGATTGGGCTGTGGTAGGATCTGCTGCGGCTGCCCCACATAGATGCCCGCAGGAGACACCTGCAGGCGTAGGATGATATCCAGGCCATACTTCCGCTTGATGTGGGCCACGGTGGCTACCCAATCGAAGTCGTCGGCGGGCCACTCCTGACCAGGCAAGGCCAGGACGGGCATATGCCCGAACTCGGCCGCAATCTCCAGCAACTGTTCGCGGTACACAGGCAGCGGCGTCTGGCGGTAGTGCAGGCAGCTGGAATAGAACTCCTTCAATTTGAGCACCTCATCCGCATCGGTGGCAGCGTCAGCCGGACGCTGCAGCAGGCGCTGCTGTTTGTGGTGGTAGCCTTTGACCAGCAGCTGTTCGTAGTTGGTTTCGCGCGGACTTGCGGTATTGGCGGGATTGATCTTGGGCCAGTTGCCGCAGCTGTAGTCGTAGAAATTGTCGCAGGGCTCCAGCTCCGTCTGCATATAGTTTCGCATCTCGGCCGCCTTGGACAGTCGCATCAGACGCTGCACATAGGCGCTGTCGTTGTGCTGCGAGATGAGCTGTTCCTGGGCCTGAATGCGTAGTTCCATCGCGGGCTGGGATAGCAGATGACCCTGGCCACTCCCAGTCCCAGCAATCAAAATCAACAGCACGAGCTGGCTAGCAGCAGTAGCAGCAGGAGAAGCGTTCTCCATGGCGAACATTCGACGGGCAACTGAAAGTGGCAACAATAGAGCACTCCCCGTACACAACGCACTTCCGTACGTATGTAAACCTTGCTGAGATTGAGTCAGAGCCCCAGAGAGAGAGAGAGCCTAAGCCCCAAGCTCCCACTCTCTCCCATCTTATCACCATGGCTGGTCGTTGGTCTCCCAAGTCGTATCGTCTCCGGCGGCTAGTGGGGAGCGCGTGATTAGATCGCAGTTCACGTTGCTTGGCAAGCACTTGGAGAAAAGCCCGCGGCACTTGATCACTCAGCGAACAATTAACATTAACAAAGTAATTGCTCAATATCAATTTTATTGCGTTGCGATCAATGGCCGATTGAATGGAAATTCGAAAGCTGTGTGTGTCATGTGTACACACCTCACCTATTACAGTGGGTACACACTATATTTTGCATACAGTAATATAGTGCGTATTCGTGAAAGAGATTTGGATTTGTATTGGAACAAAATGACTTTATAATATTAAAAAAACATCGCGGTTTGTTTGTCAAATTAAAGCAATACCTAACTTATTCGGATTCGCTTAATAGTTAATAGTTACATATATAAAATTCGAAATGAATGTTTACTAGAATTCGCTAGTTTTTTCTTCAATTTGGATATATTTATGTATGTAAATGCCTTGGCGAGTGTGTACACACTCTAGCATCAACTCGTGTTTGTATTCTATATTCCGCGCCGTAATAAGGTGGTGTGTATTCCGGTACAACGTTTCATGGAGAGCAAAAAATAGTAACCACACAAGCGATTGGGAGAATTTTGCAACGCCGACATCGACGTCGAGCAGAGAGAACTGTTCAAGAATTTAGGGGACAAAATACATGTTTTTTGAATTTGGAATTTTTATCAAATATTTTATCTAGCGCCACAAATAATAAATTCCTGCTTGCTTTCATTCAAAATTATTATAATTTGTAACTGATTTTCCATCGCGATTTTCAAAAGAAAAATAATTTTATCCGATAAATTAATAAATTTTCTAAGAGTTTGATACATTTTTTAAGGCGTTTCTTTACTAAATTAGCTTATAAAATTTTATAAACGAAAAATGGTCTACAATTTGGCACGGTTTTATCACGTTTTCAGATCGGATCTGAGTTGAAGTAACTCTTCGGTTAGTAATACTGTATGTGGCTTCAGATTTCAAAATATCGCCCGTACAATTGCAAATTCTGGGGAATCGCACTAATGGGGGGAAAGGCATTCATTCAATTGCACAAACAACAAACATTCACGCCGTCATCACTAACTGGGGCAGCGCTGTGGGAGATGGGAGATAACCCCCGGGGTCGGACTTTTTACCGAGAACAGAGGCACAGCTCTGGCCGCTGGCCTCTGGATGATACTGGTGTGCATCATCTGGGGCTCTGTTGTTTAGTCGAGTATACAAATCGAACCAAGAAGCAACGCGCCCAAGATGCGAGCGCTTCATACTATCTACCTTGTAGGGCACGTCCTGTGCACTCTGTCCGTGCTGCTGAGCTGCGGCCAGGCGGCGCCTGCGGCCGGGGAGGAGCACCAGCTGAACGAGGACACGCCGTATATGAGGGAGCTGCTGCGGTTGGCCAAGGCCGCCGAAATGAAGAGCTTCATGAATCAGAGGGCCGATCCGTGCACCGACTTCTACGCCTTTGCCTGCGGCAATTGGTCGCGCATCAATTCGGCCGTGAGCCTGAGTGAGTACACCACCGGACTGTTCGAGACGCTGACCAAAGCCCTCAACCGCAAGCTGGCGCTGATCCTCACCAGTGCGCCGGGTGCCAAGGACACGCGAGAGGATATTCAGGTGAAGCACTTCTACGAGTCCTGCACGCGCCTGGAGGAGCTGAAAGACACCTATGCGCAGAAGCTGAAGAGCCTGATCGCCGAGTTCGGCTCCATGCCCGTGCTGGAGGGGTCCTCCTGGCAGGAGGCGGACTTTGACTGGCTGGATACGGCCGCCCGCATGGACTACCGCTACGGAGTGGGCTCCATCCTCAGCATCGAAGTGACCAAGGACTTTGCCAACAATCATCTGAACAGGCTGTATGTCGGCCAGCAGGAGTTCCCCCTCGAGTCGCGCAGCATGTATCTGGACAACAGGACCCTGACCTATCGCCTGGCCCTTCGGGACCGCATGCAGCGCACAATGGAGCGCTTTCTGGGCGTCGAGAAGGAACTGGCCAAAGCAACGGCCCAGGAGCTGCTGGACTTTGAGGTGGATCTGGCCCGTGGCCTCGCCGATGAGAGCGATGGCGCGGACATTGCCGCCATGACAGAACTGATGACGGTGGCCGAGATGCACAAGCGCTATGCGCCCACGCTGGAAATTGAGCGATTTGTGTCGGTCAGCATGGGCGACGAGGTCAAGAGCACGGACCAGATCTACGAGTACAACTCGGACTATCAGCGGAACCTCATCCAGGTGATCCAGCGCACGCCGAAGCGCGTTGTGGCCAACTACATATTCTACAGCATGATCAAGGACTTTGCCGTGACGGCTGCCACGTCGGCGGAAAGCAAGAAGGAGATGTGCATCGGTCTCACCAAAAAGAGCTTCGCCAAGAACCTGGACAACATGATCTATCGCAGCAACAAAAACGACGAGACCGCCCGGCAAATCGAGGACATGTGGAGGCAACTCAAGTCCACCTTCAACGAGACGCTGCACTCCAGCCAGCAGCTGGACTGGATCGACCGCCCCACCCGCCAAAAGGCAATCGTGAAGCTCGAGGCGATGACGCTGCAGGTGAACTCCTACGCGGACCACAACTTCACCGAGGAGTTTGCCGGACTGAACCTGCAGAGCGCCGACTACGTGGAGAATCTGCGACAGGCCACCATCCTGGGCGTAAAGCAAATGCGCGAGGAGCTGCATCAGCCGGCCAAGCCGCTGGAGGCGGGTGAGCTGCTCAGCTACACGCCGGCCAACATTCTCGTGGAGAACGCCATTAAGGTGCCGGTGGCCCTGCTGCAGCCCTTCTACCTGTGGGGCAAGGCCTATCCCAGCGCCATCATGTTCGGCTCCCTGGCGGTGCTCATTGGCCACGAGCTGATCCATGGCTTCGACGACTCTGGCCGGAAGTTCGATGCCCGTGGCCAGTTCCACGACTGGTGGGACCAGACGTCCGCCAACAACTTTCTGGATCGTCAGACGTGCTTCACGGAACAGTACGGCGGCTATGTCTACGACGGCATTCCCCTCAAGAAGTCCGTATCGCAGTCGGAGAACATAGCGGACAACGGAGGAGTGCGTCTCGCCTACACCGCCTATCGCAAATGGCACGATAACCTGCTGTCGAGGCCCAACAGCTCCGAGGCACTGCTCAAGGAGACCCTCCCCACAATGGACTACAACAGCAAGCAGCTGTTCTTCATAAGCTATGGCCAGGTCTGGTGCAACGATGCCCATCCGCGGGTGAAGGCCATACAGGTGTCCACCGACCAGCACGTGCCCGGTAAATTTCGGGTTATCGGACCGCTGTCCAACTTTGATGAGTTCTCCAAGGAGTTCAACTGTCCCGTCGACTCCCCCATGAATCCCCGCGAGAAGTGTATGCTCTACTAGCATTGCGAGTATCGCATAGTAGACTTATATAAGTGATTTTTTGATTCTAATTAATTGATTCTACCATTAAAGCGCTCCAGCCGCAGCTGCATTCCATGGAACATGTTCATTCTTTCTTTTGGCTTGCAACCGCAACGTAACCCCAGCCCCAGCCCCAGCCCCAGCCCCCGCCACAGCCCAGGCCCTGTGCCAGTTCCAGCTTTAGACCGAGGTTCATTCTATTTATGTGGCCCGCCTGCACTTGGCTTTGACCGTGATTGTTACGAGCTACGAATTTCAAAGCCACTGAGAGAGGTATTGGCATTCGCACGGATCGATAAATGAGCAAGAAACAAGTGTGATGTGACATTTGGCGTGTGGGAGGGCAGGTATTGCAGGGAGGAGGAGCAATAGCTAGTGCTAGTGGTGGCTGTGGTAGTGTGCACTCACCGTGTGTCAGTATGTTGATGGTCTCGTTGTGCCAGTAGAAGAGGCTCAGCAGGCAGCCCTTGAAGGTTTGCAGGGGACGGTAGCCACGGAGCACATACGGATTGAACTGCAAATACTGGGGCATGTCCTGCCACTGCAACAGCGGACCCGTGCTCGGCACGGAGCTCGAACTGGAACGCGAACGGGAATTGGAGACGCTGTTCAGCGATGATGAGGAAGATGATGACGGTGCGGCACCCACCGGTGGAGCATGGCTTATACTTGTGGTCGTCGTTGTGGTGGTTGTTGCTGGAGTTCCTGGAGCTGCCCCGCCAGGCGCTACTGCAGATGGTTGTTCCGTGGATATGGTTACCGTTGCAGGTGCAGCTGCAGCTGGTGTTAGCAAGGCAGACATTGGCGTTGTGGAAGCTTTAGCGGAAGACGTTGATATTGGGCCGGATTGACCATGCTCCGAGGCGGCCACTGCGATTGCCTCCTTGCACATGAGGCCTCCGTTCAAAGGCATTGGATGGGCATCAGCGGCATCGACGGGCTCAGGAGCAGCCCCAGCCCCAGTCCCAATAACATCGTTGCCCGGACACCGTTGCACACCGATGCGGTCCGTGCTGGAAGGCGGCGTTGGCGGTGGCGTGTCCGCTACGGACTCCACGGTGCTGCCCACCTGATCCTGATCGCTGCATGCAGCTGCGGAAGGTGCCACGGCTAGAGTGTAGCTCGTCACTGGCTTGGGCTTCAATGTGGAGCTGGGATGTGGGATGCTGGGCCCGGTGGTACCGGGGCTGGGGATGGGGCTGCTCAGGAGCTTTGATTTGCCGCTGCCCTCGGAGCTAAGGTCAACGACAACGGCGGCGGCGGCGGCAGCAGCGGTGTCCATGCCTCCTTCCGGTTAAGCGTGTGGCGTTCGGTGGTTTCGCTTCCAACTGATTCTCTAAAGTGCCGCCAACACCAGCTGAAAGGCAAACGAAAGGGAAAGCCAACGAACGTCATGAATTATAAAATAGAGCGCAGTGCAATAAAAACGTTGCACAGAGACGGAGACAGAGGCCGAGAGACACAAGTGGAAAACGGTTACGTATATAAAAGTTGTGCCAAAAAAAAAAAAAAAATTAAAAAAAGCACGTGCTTTGCCTGTGTGGGAAAACGAGACCAGGACCAATGTCAACACACAGCTTGCCTCGTGACCCAAAAAGGCCTGCGTCTTTTCCTCTGTATCACTGTGTGTGTGTGTGCGTGTGTTTGTTCGCGTATCTGTGTGTTTCGGAACTATCAGAGTGTATGTGTGTGTGTGTGTGTGTATATTTCATGTGAATCACGCGAGTTTTTTTGATTAGGCCCCAGGACACTTCCCACAGGCTTCGTTCCTTCCGAGAGGAGGCGAAAAGGAGAGGAAAGAGCGCCGCGCCAGTAAAAATCGATAAGCTTTACTCACTTTTGCCATTGGACGACGCGTGTACACGTTTCTGCGACGCGATACGGTGCGATGCGAATCTCTTAGCCGTTGTCTTAGCCGTTGTCTTAGCCCCCAAAAAGGATTGCCTGGCCAGGGAAAATGTGGATTTACTACGGAAGCCTTTCGGAAGAAGCACGATAATTGCGGGGTAGGGAGGTCGAGTGAACACGTTTTCGGACCGATGCTATGAAGTAGCGATTTTCTGGCTAATTCTGCGGCTGACGTTGCTGTTTTGACGTAGGGGAGGCATGCTGCTTGGGGCGGCACGCATAATCAATTATTTAGCCATTTGGATTGTGGCCGAATGTCGATTTACAGCTGAATCTTTGATAAGTGAGATTTTTGCAGCACGACGGAGGGAGCGTGGCCCCGTGTGGACTGTGGGCGAGTCGAGTATCCGCGCACACACGACGCTTGGTGCAAGCACGTCAATATCTGACTGAGAAGCGTACGCACACGATAACGATACCGTTATTTTTGCGTTTTGTTATGCAATTGAATGAAATGGCCAGTATTTTTATTGGGCGCCAAAGAAAAAGCAGCGCAGGCGCACAGAACTTTTTGAAGCAAGCAGCTGATTGGATCAGCTTTATAAAAACGCTTAAAGATTCAAGTAAAAATATCATTAACATCTTTTTAAATAACCGTTCGAGCTAAAATTTAACTTCTTTTTAACAATTACTGGTGGTATGGCCTCGATTACCAGCACGAAGTAACTTTTTATACGTCGGAGAAAAATGAATTTTAATCACGAAATTTTGTGCCCATCATTGTGAACAATCTTAGAGAAAATATTGTGCAAGTGGCCGGGTGTTATTGTAAAGAATGAGGACTAGCACGTTTTAACCAAAGTACTGTATGCTTTCCTAAAAAAACAAACGGATTATTACATCAAGTCGGGCAAGTTTAAAGAAATTGGACTGGACCGGACTATTTGTATACTCGATGTGCCTTCATAATGCGGCATCTGCACATCGTACAATATTCCCGCTCTTCGGATGACTGCATCCGTATGTTAGGTTTGTAAATCTCTACAAAATCTGTAATTCATTAGGACATTACTTGAAGGCTTTTCACTCACGAGACTTGTGTGTTTCTGGTGTAATCCAGCCCCGTTGGCCTGAAATATGTACATTCCTAGCGTAAAAAGTGGTTTCGAGAAGATGCCTTATCCTCCCTTCTCTCGGGACATGGTTCTCGTAACTTATTCGAGATTCGGCCAATAGAAATAGCCGCAAAATCGAATGTCGGTTTTAATGTTATTTTCTAATTTCAAAGTTTGCCGATGGAAGTCTGGCATGCACAACAAAAACTAATTTATGTCTGACCATGTCTAGCTCACACAACGTGAAAATGTAGTTAATAGAATTGCTTAAACTTAATTTTATAAGAAAGGCAGTAAAGATGAGAATTAACTTGAACCAGTCTTGTAGAAAATTGATTTAATAATCGTATTAAATTATGTGGGCATGGCAAAATGATCTATCCAGCTAATAATATTCGACGGAAGATCAAAATTGAGCAATATGGTTTCCAATCCTTGAGGGGGAACGATTAACCTATTATAAGCCAAGGGGGTATTTCAATTATCCACCGAAAATAATGAAAATTTAATTTCAGGTGAAAGATATCGTGTTTTTTTTTGAGTTCAGATGAAAGATGGCATGTGTCTACAAGACGAATTTACAATCGTTAATATTTTCCGCCATTTACCTGAAGTCGTTGAACTATTTCAATATAGGGGTTTAAGTGGGCTAAGTTCGGTTTTGCATCATACGAGTCGCTATATTGTTGTTGAGCAACAAAAATTAAGGCAAAAACAATGTTTGACCTTTTTTTGGCAAAATCTAATAAGAGCAAGTACTTAAAATAGACCAGTCAAATAGAAAATAGTTTCATTAATCGTATAAAATTATGTGGGCATAGATAAAGGCCCGGTTGACAACATTTAAGCAATTGTCGCTCACATTCAAAAAAGTTCGATTTGGCGCGCACCACTCGGTATATTTTTCAAGTGAGACCGTATATACTGTAGAAACTGGTTTTCGCCGCGCTCCCATAAGGTGTTTTTTAGTGCTAAATGGTATTTTTGTCATCTATTAATTTCATTTTCAATTTTATATAAAAACCCAATAAATGCAAGTTTTTTGAATAGGCCAATCAAGTATAGAATTGATTCATCAATCGTGCAAAATTAAGTGGGCATGGCTAAATATTCCATATAGATAGTATTATTCAACGGAACAAAAAATATGCGAAATTTTGAATTCGCCGCAGTTCGCCGCATTTCACCCCAATTCGCTTTGGCAACAATGAGTCTCATTCCATACACAAAAGTTGCGGCAACATTTACTTGAAAACCGTTTTTTGGTCAAAAGGTAATTTAAAGAAGCAATCTTGTAGAAAATACATTGATCTATGGGATAAAGCTAAGTGGGCAAATCTATATTGCTTGAAATATAGGCAATACCCGATTCGCCGCAGTTTCGCTATTGCAACAATGAGTCCCATTCCATACACAAATGTTGCGCATTCCATGCACAAATGTTGCTAATTCCAAGCACACATACCCTGGGGGAAATGGATGTTATAGAATTGTGAATACGTTTGTCTTCCAAGGCTCAGTAGGTATCAGGATCGACATAAATATACACAAGATACTAATAATACACATGAATATGTCTAAGACATATCAATTTGAGAAAAGTTCTTTATAAATCACGTTTCATCTTCATATAAAATTAACAAAATAGGGTATACAAAGGCCTATACTACGGCTTTCACGCAACATAGTGACTCTTTTTCTGTTAGACTTTTTCGTTTAAACCTTTTTTTACAGTAAATACAATAAAAGCAAGGATTAAAAACTATTCAATCTTGTAGAAAATTTATTCATCAATGTGAGAAAATTATGTGGGAATTGCTAAAAGATTTAATAAGTCAGCATTATTCAATGGAATATCAAAATTGAGCAATATGAACGAATTTCCTTTTTCGTTTGTTTTGATTGACCTATTTCGCTACTTGTTTTTTGTTTGACTTATTTCACTAAAACCTCTTCTTACGCAAAATGCAATAAAAGCAAGTGTTTTAAATAAGCCAGCCAAGTTGAGAATAGTTTAATTAATCGGATATAATTATGTGGGCATGGCTAAATGTTCTATATAGCTGGTAATATTCGACGGAACAAAGAAAATGGGGAATATGAATAATCAGCCAGGCTCCGTTTTTCACATTCACAAAAGTTTTCCGATTTACTTTTGAAATCACATAAATTGGGGCTCTCTTTTTCCCATTCCGCAAGATTTCTTCGTTTTCAAAACGAAAACATTTTCGTTGACGAAATGAAAAGTAAACGGCTTTTTATACAACAAAACGAACCTTAATTGCAAAAGGAAAAAAATAGATGACTTATTGATGCATTAACATAAACTTGATACCTATATCAGGGTAATTTAACTTGTGCTTTCTTTATAAATAATTTTATTTTAACCCAACCTAAAATTTGACTCGGAAAAAATTGGCCACAGCAACAACAAATTTCGTTTTGGTGTAAGCAGCTGACGCATTCCGATTTGGTTATCGGAACGTTGGCAATTAATAAATTTTTGCGTATAACAGCACAAATGTGCATGTAACAGCTCAGACTGTGCTTGTAACATGCGCCCAACAGAAAATCTGGGTGAGCACAGCTGTTTCCCGCCCAATTTAATTCGGACTTCAAAATGTAACATATCGATAAAAAAAATATGTGAAAAATGGAACACCTTAAAACGAAACGAAACGAAAATCCGCAAAAGTAAATGAAAAACGGAGCCTGCCTGAATATAACTTGAGTTCGTCAGCTCCGGGAAAATGCTTGTTTTGCTGTAATTTAGCGAGCGTATCAATTTCAGTGCATTAAATGAACGAACATCATGGCCAGAAAAGCATTCGAGATGAGGGCCGTCAGCGAAAAGCTAATGTGCAATAGGTTTAATCCGTGTCGGCCAGAATAGTCGGGCACAAAAGAGCGCCAAAAACTAACCAAGCCCGAGGGCAAATATAGAAATACCGCGGCAGACGGACCAATGCTATCATCACCTGTGCCGCATTCATTTAAAGGGATAACTCATGTACTCGAGCATCGTACAGCCAGTAAATTTATCCTGGCAATCGCTATCCCAAGTCTTGAAAGGATTGTGGAAACGCCTGTATTCGCCCAGATCGCCATATCTAGCGCTGCCAGCGCCCCCACCAAAGCCAGCAGGTACAACGCAGTTCGATCAACAGAAAGAGGAAGAGGTAAGATAGTGGAAAATCAACTCAAAGTAAGCCTAACCATTCATGATAACTGGTGGAAAAGAGCTGTTGTCTCCGGCGCCGCCTCTACCTGCACCCGATATCCATGGCACAGACACGCACACACAAACACACGAGCGTGTGAACGGCTGATTTGCACCAACACGCGCGCAGCAGAGCTGCCAACTCGTTTCAGTTTTAGAATAGATTTGGCAACACTGCTGCAGTTTTAGAATAGATTTGGCAACACTGCTGCAATCGCTAAACCAACATGGCAGCTCTTGGCCTCAGACGTGGTGAATTTAATAACGAAGTGACGTGAATTATTGAAAAAAGACACAATTTGCGTAGAAAGGATTGCAATTAGCCCAGTGATCGGTGGCTATTGAGGTGCACCAAATAGTAAAGCAACCCCCCGAGGGTAGAGTTGCAAATTCCGGCCGTGGCCAAACAATATTGGCCAACACACGCTTCCACAAGCAGCTGCGTAAATTGGAGACGAAAAAGACGCGCTGCTGGGTCAAAGACAATACAACAAAAATCAATTTCGCGCTGCTTTTCTGGCTTTTTAAGATTGTCTCCGCGTGCTAAAACAAATAGCCAGAGTTGAAAGGTAGTTCCTCCGTTTAGTTGAAGTTTCTCCAAAATGCTTGCAATGCCTCCCATCCCCACCCCCCCTAAAAAGGTGTGCATTGTGGGCTGATTTCCCCACACGAACAGCATTGCAATTAATATATGTAGGTGTGTGTGTTGTGTGAAGGGGTATATGTGCATGTACATGGCGTGCCAGCTGTATTTCCCACTCTACTCACCTTTGCACGGAGCGTCGATGGGGGGAGGCGGAGACGGAGGCAGGCAACTGCCAAACACTTTTTACTTTGTCATAGACAATTCATATACTTATATGCGATTCGAATCTCGATTTTAAAGATGCCCAGAACACGGAGACGCCACCATTCAAGGGATCGCTCCTCGGCCGGCACACGAGACAAGCGGAGACGACTCGACACTGCCGACCATTCGCCACCCATGCCAGAAGTACCGTCGCCGTAAGTTCTATTCTATCTCTCTCTCTTGAGTTGGGTTGTGTGCATGTAGTATATCATTGGCAAATTTCAATTATTATTATTTCACATTTTATAAATAGGCCCCGCATTACCAAGACACATCACACCAGGTCCGCGGCCAAGCGAAGGAGGCACGAGCTAGATGCAAAGAACGCTATCCCCATACCCAAGGAGCCCACGTAAGTTTCTATTTTGCTTGATTTTTGTGATGTTTGACCTTAAAGTAGACTAAATATTAGTTTTTCTTTTGAAAAGGGATTTCCACCAACGTTTTGAGGAACATGCTCGCGCTTTTCCCCTAGAACCTTGTGTATTCCCATAAATTGCACATTCCGTGTAGGCTTGTATTGACATTGATCTCTGTTTTGGTCTCTGTTTGCCAAAATGTGCTCATGTGTTCTGTGCATTTTCTACATATGACAATCTTAGATTGTCTCACTTTCTTGAGACTGTATTTTAGGTGTTCTTCCGTTTTTGTGGAGGTCTAGTTTCTTAATTTCTTGCCAGTAAATCATCTCTTCACTTCCCCTAAAAAATAGCGGCATGAAATTGTTTCACACAAAATATGAATGGGAAAAGTGTTTCCTGGAAATGATTAGTTTAAAGGCGGTCGAACAGGTTCTTCTTACCGATCCACGGGTATTTCCAAGCAGTCATCAGTCCATGGTTATGTCCAGAGTGTCAGTGGCAGTGGCAGCGACCATCCAGTCAGAGTGTCCTGCCCACGCAGCTGTTGTTGGTTGATGGCGGCGGGGACTCCTTGGACTCGCTTTCTTTTGAATGGCTTGTAGGCAGTCGTGTATTTAATGGCCAAGCAGCAGCAGTCATGGCCCGAAAGACAAATTAACATTTGGCCATAAAAGGCAAGTGAAATTTTCGCTGGTTCCTGGACAGAGTCGGGCTGGTGCTGGAGGCCAAGTGTGATGGGAGAGTCATCCTCTCGAGTCGGCTTACTGTAAATTAAGTCAGATTCAGATTCAGCGATTTCTTTGTGCGTTTGACCCCCTTCGGAGGCGGGCTTGGTGGCACCGATCCTGGGGGGGGGGGAGGTGGCTGTCTGTGCCTGTCCATTGCTGTGGCATTTCCTTGCTTTAATTTATGCGCCTGCGTATTTAAAGAGTATTTGCATATTACTCAAAACAACGCGCAGAAAGACGGACGGGACGAAGGGAGGCGCAACGAAGTTGTCGCATTGATTATTGTTTAATGCACTTGGCGTGGCCTTTTTAGGAATTACCACAACGAGGGGCACTCACAGATAAAGAGCAGCATCCAGCGTCAAGAGTCTCTCCTCCCCCGCCCGAGGAGTTGTCTCATTTATCTGCCACTAGCAGGCGCTTTCTTTGTGCGATAAAATGACGTTTTTCATGTGCGCCATTCGACATTGTTTATTAACCTTTGAATTGAATTTGAATTTAGCAATAAAACACGCTTAATAAGTGTTCTTGAACCAAGGAGTGAGAGGGAGATAGAGATCGGTTGTCGGCAGATTAATTGCCAAAGTCTGGTCTCTGTTTACTCATTATTCATGCGCCTGCCGCCCGCCGCCCGCCGCCCGCCGCCTGCTGCAACGCGGAAGTTCCCCCCAAAAATGTTGTATCTTCAGTCCAAATATGAAAATCACAACCGAATCTGTCAATTTGGAAATAGTCTGAAATGTTCTTCCGCTTTTCGCATTTGATTGTCTTTGATTAATTCTCGATTTCAATCAGTTTTTATGTAAATTGTTACAAAAAGAAATTTCGTATCACGCATCGGACTGCGGCGAAGGCGAAACGACTCTGTTGGGGCGAATTCAGCGTCACAGCATGCTCGATCGATCAACTGTAAACTGGAAATGTGTGCGGTGTGCTGTGTTGTGTGTGTGTGCCTGTGTGCCTGTGTGCCTGTGTGCGTGTGAGCAGCGAAGTCGAGCAGCGAGACCCGAGCCCCAACCGTTGCCCCAACCGACACTTGTTCGCTGCGAACACATCCCGAACGAAATCAGTCCGAACCGACAACTTGCAAGCGAATGAATGGAGGTGCTGCTGCTGCCTTCTTCGGTCGTCGCCGCCGCCGTGCAACCTAAACAAAAAAGTGTTTTATAGAAAAATATATAAAAAGTAAAGCCTCAAGCCACCAAGAAACGGCTAAAATATTGTTCATAATCTTTAACAAATGCAGCTGTCAAGTGTTTTGTGTGTGTGCACTGCATATTGAGTGGGGAGCCGAAGCCAGCGAACCGCGTGTGATTTGTGCATCCTGGCCCAAAATGACAGTGTTTCCATCCGTGGAATTTTTAATTTAGTGGGCCCCAATGCTGTGCACACATTTTGGGGAACAACTCGGGCTACTTCTGGGTTAATTAAGGTCCGATAAGATATCGCAGCAACTATGACGCCGCCGCAAGACGCCTACCGTCTTATCGGAGAGGCGAGTACGGCAGGGTGGGGTGGGGTGGGGGGTTGGAGCGTACTTGCAGTTGGGACCGGACGTGTTGATTGTGTTGTTTTATTGTGCAAGGGATTTTGCACGCATTTCCGATAGATGTCATTACTCATGGCCCGTGGCTCGTGGGGGTCTCGACGCGTCGCAGTTTGACTCAGCCTCTGCGCAACAAGTTGTTTGGGTTTGATCCAACATTGGCTTCCAACTGTTTTTGCACCCTTGAAGAGAGAAGGTGTATTTCGGTTTGGAACAGATGTTTGCCTTTCACAAAAGAAGGGAAGGTAGCTTAAAAAGAGGAAACGTAAAGAATAATACATTCCATTATATTGGTGGAGACCGTTCTCCAAGAGGGTATCCACAAGGCTTCAGCGTCTGCTGGGGCAGACGAAGACTTGTGTTTCCTTTTTGAATCAGGTTAAAAAAGTAAAAATTGTGAAAACTGGTCGGAGCAGGAGACGAAGCAGAGGAAGGAGGAGGAGGACCTGTTGGCCAGTTCGGTGAGCTGCTGGCTGCTGGCTGGTCGGGTCTTTGCGCTGCTGCAGACACTTTCTACTAACGTATTTCTGCTGGCGCTGCTGGCCAGGCTGGCATTGCATAAAGCATTAACTGGTTCGGCAAGGGGCTTTTGGGGATGCGGATTCCGGTCTGGGGGTCTTATCAATGAACTTGCCAATTGGATTTGTGTGCGGGGGAAAATCGCTGCCAAGGTTCAGGGCTTTTTTCGAGCAGCAGCTAATTCAATTGTTGGCCCTCCGCTTACTGCTGAGCCAACACAAATGAAATGCGGCCAAGAAGAAGTCGCACAAATGCAGCCCAGAGTCTCGCCCCCAAAGGAGGCCGCACCGATGAGGGGGCTGTAGGGTAGGGGCGCTAATTACAACAGCAACAGCGAACAAGGCGAGGCACGGGCCGCGGGATCGTCGGGTCTCTGGGGTCTGTCTCTGTAGTATGTTCGGGACAGGCGGCAGTCGACTGTCCGAGTCGGAGTGTGTGCACAGCATTCGGAATTAGATCTAAACCACAATCTCAACTCAATTAATAAAAGCAGCTGAACGCCGCGGAAATGCCAAGCAAATGATAACGATAAAGATATAGCAGCCGCAAGAGATTAAGATAAAGAGAAACGATCCACAAAGCGCACGCGTTTAAAGTAAATGCCTTCAAAGCAGTTTAAATTTCAACGCCCATCCCCACACCGGACTGTGGAAAGATCAACTGAAATTACGAATAATTAACCCGAGCAGCGAACGAAACAAATAACAACTTAGAAAAGCAAATAAGTAAGCTAACAAAATGCCCATCGTTGGACAGCAATATGGCAATGGCTTTCGGCCATACAGCTCCTTTCGAGTGCCGCGAGGCAGTTGCAGCAACAACAATAGCCCCAACAATGGCCAAGTGGCAGGATCCGGAACCACCCAGCCACTGAGCAGCAATGGAGCCAACATCAGCACACGGGTGATGGTGAAATCAACGCCAGGCGCCGCAGCTCCAGGTGGACATCGAAGCAAGAACACAGCAGCCTCATCCTCGTCCTCGTCATCCTCGATTCACCAGCAGGCAGCGCCGGCCACAGCAACAGTCGCGCCAAGCGGTGGTGGCAGCTTCGTGCGCCAGCAGCCGTGGCGCAGCAGCTACTGCAGCAGCAGCGGCAACAGCAACAACCGCCACAAAGTGCAGCAGGAGTCCCACAACCCCAATCCCCACCAGCAAAGACTAGGAGTGAACAGCAGCAGCAGCTTTAAGCCGCTGACACCGAAGCTCATTCGTCGCATTGAAACCACCTGCTCTTCGTCCTCGGCCGCCTTGCGGCATGGCAAGGCAAGGGCGCCGGCACCACCGAGCAGCGCCCAGCAGCAGCCGCCACGACCTGGACCCACGCCCAGCACTGCCAGAAAACAGTATCAGTCAGCAGCAGCCGTTCCCAGCCAGATGGGGACACCCACGAGCCAGAAGCGCACCCACCAGACGGCGGGCAAGTCCGCCAAGGAGAACTGCCCAGGGGCGCGACTCACGCAGCGTTCCAGCAAGAACTATCCGGCACCGCAGCCACCGACTGTGGCCGGGCGTAGCAGGCAAACCACCAATGATCTCACAGGAGGAGGAGGAGTCGTAGCCACTCCTTTGGCACAGCGTAGGCAGCTGCCGGCCACGCCCAAGCTGAGTTTCAAGCAGCGCAATGGGTGCACCGCCACCAGCAACGGAGCTGGCGGCGGCGGCAGCTCCTCGACCGGCTCCAGCGACTCCCACGACTCGCCGCGACTGAAGAAGGCCTTCTCGAACAAGTTCCCCCAGGGCCTGCCCTTCGAGGAGGAGTTCTATGGCAGCAACCGCAATCGCTCCTACTCGCAGTCCTCCAGCAACTATAGTTTCTACAGCTCTGTGGGCGCCGCCACCACACCGCACGACGATGACGAGGACTACGGCGACGAGGATGTGGAGGACATTCACGCCGACGAGTTCCAGCGCAAGCCTGCCACCGATGAGTCGCTCTACGTGGACTTCTCCAAGCTCGTTCAGAGCCGCCAGCAGCGGCAGTATGTCCCAGCCAGCTCCTGGATCCGGGCATCCCCCGAGCACAGCGGCAGCAGCTGCCAGCTGACTCCCGCCCAGCAGAGGCGCAAGAGCAGCAAGTACGCCCGCTCCATGCACGAGTATCTCTACAGCGACGACCACCAGAGCGTCTCCCAATCGAAGCATCGCCTCTCGGTGGTGGACGAGCCCGAGGATGGTTACTATAGCTATGCGGCGGGCACTCCCGAGCCCGAGACGACGCCCTCCACCCCCAGGACGGACATCTATGTGGCAGCTGCCTCGTGGGCCCCCAAGCCGCTCTATCCCGACCGCGTGCTGTTGCCATCATCGGGAGTATCGGATGGAAACAACAACAATCACAGAAACACATGCCCCAACAAGCAGCAACCACAGCAACAGCAACGGCGTCGGTCCGAGCACTTGGGGTCCACGACGTGTGAGTATAAGTGAGTGTCTCTTCAGCATTCAGTGTACGGCATGCGGAAACTGGAGCCTAGACCTTGAGTGGTCCACGTCCACGTCCACTCCTCTTCTCTCTCCAGCCGCTGACTAAGCGTTCTGTCCGCACTTCATTTAAAAGTCCGATCCCCTCCATCGCCTCTCCAATTGAATCTTGTTTTGTTTTTTGTATTTGTTGGCGCTGTGCCGCTATGATTCGGTTCAAGATCTCTCTCCCAAATTTGGTCAAGCACACCGCCCCTACTTATGAGCGGTCTCTGTGTGCGGTTCTGTCCAAATAGTCGGACGTCGACGACGACGACTCATTAGGCAACTCAAGCGCCGGGTTGTGCAACTGCTGTTGCTGCTGCTTCGAGAGCTTTTAGCAGCGATCTACAGGGCATACTCCATTTGTTGACTTAGGCTTTATGCCCCAAGAGTTTTGGCCTCAATTTAAAAGAACTTTCTAGGTATCCCTCCCTGAGGTCTGAGTGCTAGTTTTTCGCTTGAGTGAACTAAACTTAATGCTCGGCGAACAATTAACACTTTTTCCGACATCCGATCTAATCTAAAATCATTGTGATATTAAGATTTGTTATAAATTTGAGTTTATGTTATTTAAAAACAAGTTCTGAAACTTGAAACTAGATTTCCTGCACTAATTCGTATACCCTTGAAGAGGTAGAGTATTATAAAATTAGCTAGACGTTTGTAATGCACAGAAGTAGGGATCTCCTAGAACCCCTACTCCTATTAGATTTACCCTTCGAGAACTACCGACCGAGTCTCGGTCCCGAGAATGCAAAAACAAAATGGAGGCATCAGTGCGCGCCCGAGATTCGGGAGCGGGAATAAAAAAAATCCAAGTACAGCCGTACTTCTCTATTACGAACTTCCGTACAACGAACTTTTCTATATAACGAATTTGTTTATAGAACTCTGCAGAAATTAATTTACGAATTTTCCTTATAATGCATTCTCCCTGTGATGTGCTATATGGAAGTTAGTCTGTAAATTAAAACATACAGTAAATACATAGCGATCCGATCCTGCTTATTCTCTATACAATATATCAGCATCCATCCGTCCATATGTTTCTATTCGGAAAAGCCTAAAAGGGAGAATAAGAAGGATCGGATCACTATATTATGTAGTCGCCATAGTAATAAATGAATAGGTTTATTCTCGCATTGTCATTAGGTGGACGGAGCACAGGATTGCATAAGATTGCATATAGATAACCTAAGTACCGCGTAGAATTATGCCGCTACTCCCAACGTCAGGACTGGGCAATCGTCCAAATT